GACAGGGTCAGAAAGTCTGTGAGACTCCTTGTTAAGGGGAGCTGCCTATCTTCAATTAACAACCAAAGAGCTCTTTCACAGAGCTAAGGAACCACCTGGGTGTCAGTGGCTCATGTCTGTGATCTAGCTACTTAAGAGCCCAAAAAAAGCCATCCTGGACAAGAAAATCTGTGAGATTCTATATCCCCAATTAATCACAGAAATAGAGCTGTGACTCAAGCGGTAGAGTGCTAGCCTTGAGCAAAAGCAGCTCAGGGACTATAGGGTAGGAGTCAGTTCTTCAAGGGACAGCACCCTGACCTGGAGTTTAAGCCCCAGGACTTGCAAAAACAAAAACAAAAAATGACAAAAAAGCAAAACAAACAAACAAACAAAAACTTGAGTACTAGCCAGATGCCAATGGTTCACACCTGTAATCCTGCCTGCTTAGGAGGCTGAGATCTGAGGATCAAGGTTTGAAGCCAGCCTGGATAAAGCTAGTCAAAGCATTAGTCTTGAGTGAGAAAGCTAAGGGACAGCACCCAGGCCTGCATATCCAGAGTATCATCACAAAAGAAAGAAAGAAAAAAAAAGCCCGCCACCCGTGACTCATGCCTGTAATCCTAGCTGCTCAGGAGGCTGAGAGCTGAGGACCTGGGCAGAAAAAGTCTGTGAAACTCTTATCTCCAATAAACTTTAAAAAAAAAAAGGTGGGGGGGGGGGGGGCTAGGAAGGTGGCTCAGTGGTAGAGTGCTTGCCTTGCACGCATGAGGCCCTGGGTTCTATTCCTCAGCACCACATAAGCAGAAAAAACTGGAAGTGGTACTGTGGCTCAAGTGGTAGAGCACTAGCCTTGAGCTGAAGAGCTGAGGGACAGTGCCCAGGCCCAGAGTTCAGGCGCCATGATTGGCAAAAAAAAAAAAAAAAAAAAGCAGAAGTCGTACGGCACCAGCTTGAGCAAAAAGATGCTCAAGGACAGTGCCCAGGCCCTGAGTTCAAGCTCCAGGACCAGCAAAAAAAGAAAGATAACCCGTACTGAAAAGAGCTGGACTTATTGTTTAGCAGTAGAGTACCTGCCTAGCAAGAATGAAGAAGGTCCTGTGTTCAAACACCAATACGACTAAATAAGTAAAAAGAAAAGAATATTTGGGCTGGGAGGGTGGCTCAGTGGTAGAGCGCTTGCCTTGCATGCATGAGGCCCTGGGTTCAATTTTTCAGCATCACATAAGCAAAAAGAAAAGAGCCGGGAAGTGGCCCTGTAGCTCAAGTGGCAGAGCACTAGCCTTGAGCTGAAGAGCTGAGGGACAGCGCCCAGGCCCGGAGTTCAGGCCCCACGACCGGACCCCCCCCCCAAAAAAAAAAAAAAAGGAAAAGAAAAGAATATTTTAGCATTCGCTCTCTCTCTCTCTCTCTTTTGGCTGGTCCTGGGGCTTAAACTCAGCCTAAGCGATATCCCTGAGCCTCCTTGTGTTCTACCACGTTGAGCTACAGCACCGTGTCCAGTTTTTTTTCTGAGTAGTTTATTGTAAATAAGAGTCTGACAGACTTTCCTTTCCGTGGCTGGATTCGAACTGCCATCCTCAGATGTCAGCCTCCTGAGATTACAGGTGTGAGCCACCACCTCGTGGCTTTTTAGTCTGTCTGTCTTTATGTTTCTCTCCCTCTCTCTTTTAATCAAAAGGACTTGATACCAGATTTTCCCTTTCTTGGATGCTGGGCAGAGTGAACCAAGGTGTTTACATTGTAGGGTTTTATGTAATTTGCAAGACTGCTAGTTAACATTTGCAAGTTGTAATGAATGAATCTGAGCAGGTGTTTCTTGTTTATTTCTATTTTGTCTTTTAACCCATGGAGAAGGAAGCAGTTTTCAAAGTCTAGGATTTTCTCTATTTCAGGTCTAAAGAATGTACGTTACTATAAGTACATTCATCTTCTAGAATAGTAAATATTTGCATTGTAAAAAATGTTTCTAGATGCTCTTATGTACATCAAGGTACATAGGAACCCCAGGCCTGGTGGTACACACCTATAATCCAAGCACTCCTTAGGAAGACTATCCCTGTTCTTTTTCTTTTTGATCATTAGTGGGGCTTGAACTCTGGGCCTGGGTGCTGTCCCTTAGCTCTTCAGCGTTTTACCATTTGAGCCACAGCACCACTTCTGGTTTTCTGATAGTTAATTGGAGATAAGAGTCTCATGGACTTTCCTGCCCAGGCTGGCTTTGAACCATGATTCTCAGATCTCAGCCTCCTGAGAAGCTAGGATTACAGGCACGAGCTACCCGGTTTTTTGTTTGTTAAAATGAAAACAAAAACAAATAAAAAGCTGGTGGCTCAGGGTTATAATCCTACTAAGGCGTCTGAGAATTATACTTGGGAGCCAGCTGAGGCAGACAAAACCTGTAGAGTTTCTGTGTGTTGAGAGAAGGGGTGGTTATGTGTGCCTAGTGCATAGGTGCTGTCCCTGAGCTCTTTTGCTCACGGCTAGGGCTCTGCCACTTTGAGATACATCTCCACTTCGGGTTTTTGAATGGGTGGGTTAATTGGAAATAAAAGTCTCAAAGGAACTTTTCTGCTACAGCTGGCTTCAAACGGCAACCCTCAGATCTCAGCCTCCTGAGTAGTTAAGATGGGTGCAAGCTCTGGCCCCTTGCCTGAGATTCTTTTTTTCAAGGTTAGCGCTCTACCATTTGGGCCACAGTGCCTCTTCTAGCTTTTTTTGAGTAGTTTTATTGACCCTCGATCCTCAGATCTCAGCCTCCTGAGTAGCTTGAATTTTAGGCATGAGCCATCAGTGCCTGAGTAACCAACAGACTTTTATCTCCAATTAGCCATTTAAAAAAAATCACAAATTGAGGCTTCACTGAAGTGGTAAAGTGCCAACCATGAGCAGATTAGGCCAAGAGTAGAAAGTCTCTCTGAGAATTTCTCCCGTGCCAGGAGAAAAAGAAGAAAAAAAAAAAAAAGTGGGGAAAAAAATTCAAGCCAGATGCTGGTGCTCATACCTATAATCCCAGTAACTCTAGAGGCTGAGATTGGAAGCTGGTTCAAAGGCAGACCAGGCAGGAAAGTCTGAGAGTCTTTCTTATCTACAATTAACCCTGCAAAAAGCTGGCTCAAGTGATAGCTATGGCCTCAAGCTTTATCCATTAAAGAAAGGAGAAATCTGGGGATGCTGCCAGGCCCTAGGTTCAAGCCACAGGGGCAGCATATTCATACACAGAAAGGAAGGGAGAGAGAGAGGAAGGAAGGAAGGAAGGAAAGAAGGAAAGAATCCTAGGTGGTGGAAAAGTATGATCTTTCTTGAAGAACCAAAAATCAGTTGGAAGAACAGTATTCATGCTCTGGTACATAGATGTTATTCTGTTGACACAGCACTACATTGATACATAAGTAGAAACTTAATTTTTTTTAAAGGAATACCTCTTTCAAGGATCCCAATTCTAAAATTTAATGGTAGCATCATAGAATTTTATATATAGAAAAGTAGTTCACATTATATAATTGAAACCCAAGGGATTAAAAGATTTAACTAAATTTATATTACTTTCAAAAACTCTAGGACTAGAATGTGAAATAGGTAATTCCCTCTTACCCTTCCTAGATTCCTGATTTTTTGTTGTTGTTGTTGTTGTTGGTTGTGGGGCCTGAACTCTGGGCCTGGGCATTGTCCCTCAGCTCTTCAGGTCAAGGCTAGCACCCTACCACTTGATCCACAGCACCACTTCTTGCTTTTTCCGCTTATGTGGTGCTGAGGAATCCAACCCAGGGCCTCATGCATACAAAGCAAGCACTCTACCACTGAGCCGCCTTCCCAGCCCTAGATTCCTGATTTCTTTCTTCAGGACTCCTGAAAGTTGTGTCTGTAATATTTTGGCTAGGCAGATGGCCATGCCTAGGATAGCTATATTAAGGAAGAGCTTAGCATCAGTTCTCTTTTCCCCCTCCAATGGCTAGGGTATAGCATGCTTAACATGTTTAAGGCCCTGATTCAATTCTCATGATCATAAAAAGACCACCCAAGGTGACCATTAAGACACTCCTCCTTGGGCTGTGAAGGTGGCTCAGTGGTAGAGCGCTTGCCTTGCATGCATGAGGCCCTGGGTTCGATTCCTCAGCACCACATAAGCAAAAAGAAAAAAAGCCGGAAGTGGTGCTGTGGCTCAAGTGGTAGAGTGCTAGCCTTGAGCTGAAGAGTTGAGGGACAGCGCCCAGGCCCAGAGTTCAGGCCCCACGACCAGACCCAAAAAAAAAAAAAAAGACACTCCTCCTTTCTCCCCCCCATTGAACCCAGGGCTTGTTCATGGTAAGCACATACATACTCTACCATTAAGCTACACCTACTCTACTGATGACTTCAAAGCTATACCTAGCTTTTTTTTTTTTTGTCAGTTTTGGGGCTTGAATTCAGGTCCTGGGCACTGTCCCTGATCTATGTAACATGTGCTCAGTAAGAAGAACATCTATGTTGTCTTTATCTTATAGGTATTGCTGAAAAACAAAAACAAGGACAAAACAGGCTCATAGAGATTAAATAATTTGCCCAAGTTCATATATGCAGTAAGTAGTAGAACAGTGATTTGGTCTAGGTATGTCTGACTCTAAATCTCAAGATATGCTAAAGACAAGCCAGATTGAAATGAAAGACATTATTTAAGCAGTGTGTGTGCACACACGCGATACACACACACAGAGGCACGTGTGCCTGTGTGTGTGTATATGTATCAGTAATGGAGCTTGAATTCCTAGCTGTAGACTGGTACTCCTTGATTTTTGCTGGCATTCTACCTCTTGAGCCACACCTCTACTTCTGGGTTTTTAAAATTAGAAATTAGAGACTCCTGAATTTGTCTACCTTGGCATGGTTGAACACTGCGATGCTCAAATCTCAGCTTCCTGAGTAGTTAGGATTATAGGCATGAGCCAAGAGCACCAGGCTTCCTTTTTAATCATTTAATCCACTAATCAAGAAAGTTCCTTAATGCTTATTGAGAAATGACCTTTGTGTTTTCTTTATTACAGGTTTATTGCCAAACCTTGTGCACTCCGACTAGGCATTGAGAACAGTAGGAGGTCTGATGTCAAACCCAATGCCATCCTTGAAAAGGTGTTTCTATCTATTACTAAGGTAAGTGAACAAAGAAATTGAAAAGAAAATTAATGTGAAGTGTTGCTCTATAAAGTGGGGAAGGATAGAGGACATGTAAGAGAAGGGAAGGAGAAAATGAAAGTCACTAAATTTGTGTGTGTGTGTGTGTGTGTGTGTGTGTGTGTGTGCATGCACATGCACAGGTGTACATACATGCACTCCCACTGGTCCTAGGCTTGAACTCAGTGCCTGTGCACTGTCCTGGAGCTTTAGTGTTCAAAGCTAGAGCTCTACCATTTGAGCCACAGCTCCACTTACGGCTTTTTGGTGATTAATTGTAAATAAGACTCTTACAGATAGCTAGGTGCTGGTGGCTCACGCCTGGTGGCAACTCAGGATGCTGAGATCTGAAGGTCAATGCTTGAGACTCTTATCTCCAACTAACCACCAGAAAACTGGAAGTGACCTTGTGGGTCAAAGTGGTAGAGTGCTAGCCTTGAGCAGAAAAAGCTCAGGGACAGGGCTCAGGCCCTGAGTTCAAGTCTTATGACTTTCCCTCCATTCTCCCCCCGCCCCCCAAAAAAAAATAGAATCCTTCAGATTTTCCTGCCAGAGCTGGCTTCAAACATGATCCTCAGACCTCAGCCTCTTCAGTAGCTAGGATTACAGGGATGGCATATTAGTAATCACTGGTTTTTCACATTTTGATGGTCTGTATACCTATAGGGAGAACTTTAGTCCCTGAAGGAAATGCCTTTGGGTCAGGATTCACGCACATTTACCCAACAAGTTGTTTACATACCTTTGAGTTTAAGTTCTAGCAGCCATCTCTACCCCTCTCACCCAAGACACCATGTCTTTTTTCTTTTTCTGTGCTTTAGTTTCTGGCATTGCCAATTGTATAATTCAATTATCAGGGCAATGGTGGCAGCCTTTCTGACTTGTGGGTTTTTGTTGCTGTTGTTGTTATTTTGTTGTTGTTTGTATGGATGTTATGTGTACAGTGATTGCAAAAGAGCCTGAGTGTTGTCTTTTAGCTTTTTCACTTTTTTGGCTTAAGGCTGATGCTGTTCAACTGGAGCCCACAGCTACACTTCTGACTATTTGATAATTAACTGGAGATAAAAAGAGTCTTACATCTTGCCTATGTAATTGTAACCCCTCTGTACGGTATTTTCACAATGAAAAAGAAAAAAAAAAAAGAGTCTTACAGACTTTTCTGCCTGTTCTGCTTCCAACTGTCATCCTCAGATCTCAGCCTCCTGAGTAGTTGGAATTACAGGCTCTGTGTATATGTGTGTGCATGCATACGTGCTTACACGCCAGTCCTATTGCTCCAACTCAAAGCCTGGGCACTCTTCGCTGTCTCTGAACTTTTGTGCTCAAGGCTCACACTCTATCACTTGGGCCATAACTCTCTTTCCAGCTGTTTTGTGGTTAATTGGAGAAGAGAATTTCACAAACTTTCCTGCTTGGCCTGCTTTTGAACTATGATTCTCAGAATTCAGCCTCCTTGGGCTAGGAAAATGGCTCAGTGGTAGAGTGCTTGCCTTGCATGCATTAGGCCCTGGGTTCGATTCCTCAGCACCACCTAAGCAGAAAAAGCCGGAAGTGGCACTGTGGCTCAAGTGGTAGAGTGCTTGCCTTCAGCTGAAGAGCTAAAGGACAGCACCCAGGCCCAGAGTTCAGGCCCCATGACCAGAAAAAAAAAAAAAAAAAGAATTCAGCCTCCTTAGCCAGGTGCTGGTGGCTCATGCCTGTAATCCTAGCTATTCTGGAGGCTGAGATCTGAGACTTGAGGTTGGAACCCAGCTCTGGCAGGAAAGTCCATGAGACTCTTGTCTCCAATTAACCACCAGAAAAACAGAAGTGGCTCAAAATGGTAGAGCACTAGCCTTGAACAAAAGAGCTCAGGGACAGCATCCAGGCCCTAAGTTCAAGCCCCACAAATCCAAAAAAAGGAAAATAAAAAAGGAAAAAGAAAGAAAGAACGAACTCAGCCTCCTGAATAGCTCAGCTACAAGCTGTTTGTTTTTAGTATCCTTTTTTTTTTCTTTTAACTCAGCTTAAGCTAGAGGAAGAAGACCAAACAAGGGTATATAGAGGTGAGCAGTGAAAGTCCTTGATAAATGAGAAAGGATATTAATTATTTATTTTTGCTGAAAGTTATTTTGGCCAGGTACTGGTGGCTCATACCTGTAATCCTAGATATTCAGGAGGCTGAGATCTGAGGGTCATGATTCAAAGCCAGCCTGGGCAGGAAAATCATGAACCTTTTTTTTTGGTTCTGGGTTTGAACCTAGAACATTGCATTTGCTGAGCAAGTGCTTTGCCACTGATCTAAATCCATGCCCCCTTGAAACTTTCTTTTTTTTTTCTTCTGTCCCTGACTTCTCTGTGTTCAAGGCTAGTGCTCTACCACTTGAACCACATGCCACTTTCCCCATGATACTTTTTCTGTCCAAGTTAATTACCAAAAAGGCAGAAGTAGAGCTGTGGCTCAGGTGGTAGAAAGCCAGCCTTGAGCAAAAAAAGCACAGAAACAATGCCCAGGCCTTGTGTTCAAGCCCCAGGTCCAGCATATAGACATCTCTACCCACAAAAATATGCCTGCAAGTGATTTTGGGATGTCACCTCGAAGAGTGATTTGAGGATGGTTCAAGTGAACCACTGTGGTTTTCCTCCCTTTCCCACTCAACTAGTCAAAGGGATTTATAAAGGGTTTGAAGAGAGAAAGGTCATTCTAACTCTGGTCATATATCTACAGAATCCTGATAAGAAAAGGCTAGAGGGCCTGTCAAAGCAACTGGACTGGGATGTCCGAAAAATCCAATGCTGGTTTCGCCATCGGAGGAATCAGGACAAGCCCCCAACGCTCACTAAATTCTGCGAAAGCATGTAGGTGTTCAGAGGGAGGTAGGGAAGGAGGCAGAGGGTGAGAATACAACTACAATGAGGTTTTCTTTTTGGAAATTATTTTCACTATTAGAATAACTGTTGATGAATGTGGAAGGCTATTAACTGTTCTAAGTAGGAAAGAAGAGAACTAGAAAACTGGTCACCTTTTGCTTCTTGGTGACATACTTACAACTATTCTAAGTGTGGTTCCATTTTGTTCTTTTCCAAATACACTGAGAGTGAATTCCCATAACTGCACTTAATGTAACTAGGTATACCCCTGTACACCTTGATAGAGCTTGCTCTAAACTCACATTTTTATGTGACATACACCTTTTCTGGACAATACTTCAACTCACTAAAGTTTTTGCTAATTACCCTGTAGAAACTTTTTTTGGGGGTCAGTTGTGGGGCCTGAACTACCTCTGGGCCTGGGCACTGTCCCTCAGCTCTTCAGCTCAAGGCTAACTCTCTACCACTTGAGCCATAGAACTGCCACTTGCAGCTTTTTCTGTTTATGTGGTGCTGAGGAATTGAACCCAGGGCCTCATGCATGCAAAGCAAGCACTCTACCACTGAGCCACCTTCCCAGTCCAGAAACAATATTTTATTCGTCACTGTCATGCAATAAAAACATTAAGCATTATTATGAAGGCATCTATCTTTTTATTTTGTTATTTATGTGGCTTTAACAACTCAGGGCCTAGGCACCGTCCCTGTGCTTTTTTACTTAAGGCTAGCTCTCTACCATTTGGAGCCACAGCAGAACTTCCATTTGAAGGAATCTTTTTTGGGAGGCTGGGGTGGCAGGGGCCTAGAACTCTGGGCCTGGGCACTGTCCCTGAGATCTTCAGCTCAGGGTGAGCACTCTACCACTTGAGCCCCAGCACCACTTCCAGTTTTCCAGTTTTATTGAAGATAAGAGTCCCTTGGACTTTCCTGCCCAGGCTGGCTTTGAACTGCAATCCTCACATCTCAGTCTCCTGAGTAGCTAAGATTATAGGCATGAGCCACCTGTGCTCAGATAGAAGGATCTTTTTTTTTTTTTTTTTTTTTTGTCGGTCGTGGGGCTTGAACTCTGGGCCTGGGCGTTGTCCCTCAGCTCTTCAACTCAAGGCGAGCGCTCTACCACTTGAGCTACAGCGCCACTTCCTGATCGAAGGATCTTATACACAAGAAAACTTGATCTCAGTTTACCTAGCCTCAAAGACTTTCTTTTACATGGATATTTGTCTAACCTCTATGTTTTGCCCACCTAGGTGGAGATTCACTTTTTATTTATGTATGTTCTGCTACGGAATTATATTTCTCTGGCTGGTGAGTTTAAACTTTCTCTGGTCCTCTGATTGGGCTGTATATTTATCTATCTATCTATCTATCTTTGAGAAAGCTCTCTATAAATTGCAAAAAATGGCTTTAATCCCCCTGCCTTACCTTCCTGAGTGCTGGGATTACAGTTGTACGCCAATATGCCCAATCTAGATCTTTATTTCTCCCTAAGTTTTGCTCATGTGGTATTCATTTACCCAGTTTATGTGCTGGTAGATTGTCTTGTGTTGGGACTTGACTTCACTAGTCTTATAATTGTATTATTTTTCACATAAATAATTATAAAAAGAATACCAATTAAGTCAGAATAGTATTTAAATGACTTACAGATCACTTGACAAAAATTGGGCTCCTTCAAGGAGAAACAGAATCAACCCTTTAAGTGAGTGAAACGGATATTATTCCTGGCCAGATATTTGTGGCTCATGCCTATAATCCTAGCTAATCAGGAGGCTGAGATCTGAGTATTTCAGTTCAATAGTTCAAAGCCAGTTGGAGTAGGAAAGTCCATGAGACACTTATCTTCAATTAACCACCAGAAAACTGGAAGTAGAAGTGGCACTGTGGCTCAAAATAGAGAGCTGGCTAGCCTTGAGCAAAATTGCTCAGCGACAGTGCCCAGGCTCTTGAGTTCAAGCCCCACAAACAACAATAACAAAAGATATTATTCCTTTTTTCCAATAAGTTTTCCAGAATCAAAGAATCTTGAGCCTTTTTTTTTTTTGGTTGTGGAGCTTGAACTCTGGCTCTGGGTGTCCCTCAGTTCTTCAGCTCAAGGCTAATGTAGCATTCTATCACTTGAGCTACAGCACCACTTCCAGTTTTCTGGTGGTTTATTGGAGATAAGAGTCTCACGGACAAGTCCGGGCTGGTTTTGAACTGCCTGGATCTTAACCTCCTAAGTAGCTAGGATTACAGGCATGAGCAACCAGCGCCCGGCTATTTTGATTCTTGATTACATGTTTTCCCTTCCTTTCCCATGTTGTTTTTCTCTGAATTATGTAATTAAGTCTTCAAATAGATGAAGCAAAATGGGAAGAACTGGGGCTGGGAAGGTGGCTCAGTGGTAGAGCGCTTGCCTTGCATGTATGAGGCACTGAGTTCGATTTCTCAGCACCACATAAGAAAAAAAAAGCTGCAAAAGTTGGAAGAACTAAAGGGAAGTAATAGGTACATGGTCACAATTGTTTCTTCTTTTTCCTTTTTTTTTTTTTTTTTTACATACTGGGGTTTGAACTCATAGCCTCAGGCTTTCTGGCATTCTACCACTTAAGCAATACCTGTAGCTCAGCTTTATGCTGATAATTTTGTTTTTTGTTTTTTTTGGGGGGGGTCCGGTTGTGGGCCTGAACTCTGGGCCTGGGCGCTGTCCCTGAGCTCTTCAGCTCAAGGCTAGCGCTCTACCACTTGAGCCACAGCGCCACTTCCGGCTTTTTTTTCTTTTTGCTCATGTAGTACTGGGGAATTGAACCCAGGGCCTCATGCATGCAAGGCAAGCGCTCTACCACTGAGCCATCTTCCCAGCCCGCTGATTATTTTGGAATGGTGGTTCATGGACTTTTCTGCACAAGCTAGCCTCAAACTACTTTTTCTAGATCTCACCATCCTTAGTAGTTAGGATCACAGACATGAGGCACAGGTACCTGGCTATACTTAGAGGTCTTAATACTCTTTCAGTAATTGACTAAATGACTAGACAGAAATGTCACCAAGGCTGGGTACTCAGCCTGGATAAAAAAGCCCCTGAGAGGGCTGGGAAGGTGGCTCAGTGGTAGAGTGCTTGCCTTGCATGCATGAGGCCCTGGGTTCGATTCCTCAGTACCACATAAGCATAAAGAAAAAAGCCGGAAGTGGCACTGTGGCTCAAGTGGTAGAGTGCTAGCCTTGAGCTGAAGAGCTGAGGGATAGCACCCAGGCCCTGAGTTCAGGCCCCACGACCGGACACACACACACAAAAAAAAAAGTCCCTGAGACTCTTATCTCCAATTAACCACTTAGAAGTAGAGCTATCTGTCATTTCATGTTATGGTGTTTTGTTTTTGTTTTGTTTTTTTGCCAGGCCTGGGCACTGTTCTGAGCTGCTTTTGCTCATGGCTAGCACTCTACCATTTGAGCCACAACACCACTTCCGGTGGTACTTACGTGGTACTGAGGAATTGAACCAGGGCTTCATGCATACTAGGAAAGCATTCCACCACTAGACCAAATTCCCAGCCCTAGAGCTGTCATTTCAAACCCCAGCACTGGCATTAAAACCAACACAACAATGACAACCCTCTGCTGGGCACCTGAAGCAGTGGCTTATGCCTGTAATCCTAGCTACTCAGGAGGCCTAGATTTGAGGATTGCTATTTGAAGCCAGCCTGGGTAGGAAAGTCCAGGAGACTCTTACTTTCCAATAAACTACTCAAAAGAAAAAAAATTTAAAAAGCTCGGTGACAGTGCCTAGACACTGAGTTTGAGTGCCAGGACCAGCGCGCACTCACACGCATGCACACACACGCACGCACATACACGCACGCACATACACGCACACACACACACAAAGGCCCACCATTCTGCCATTCTGGGGAGGCGGGGGAGTTATGAATAATCAGTATGATCAATATGAGGATGGGGTTATCATTCAAGAGCCTATTGGTACTATTGGAAGGAAATGAGACAGTGCTATGCTGGATACCAGCTCAAGCCTGTAATCCTAGCTACTTCAGAGGCAGTAATTTGAGGATCATGGTTCAAAACCAGCCCTGTCCATGAGACTTTTATTCTCAGCCAGCAAAAACCTGTAAGTGAAACTGGCTTAAGTGGTAGAGTGAAGCCTTGAGTGAAAAAGCTAAGGGACAGCATCCAGGCCCTTAATTCAAGACCCAATAACAGCACGAAAAAGGACAGTTTTATGGACAATTAAACAGTGAAATTAAACAGAAAAAATAGACAAATTCCTTAAGGAACATAATTATAATACCTTCAGAGATGATTACTTTTGAATTTTGAACATAGAAGAGACATTTCTCCTTTGGTTCTCAAATAGAATCATTGTTTCTCTGCGTAATTCCTATATCCCAGGTAGTGTTGTTTCCTATAACTAAAGTTCTTACTGTTGCTTACTCCAGGCTTAGGCTTTTTTTCTATTTATAATAATGTTTTTCATGTTCTTTTTTTTTTTTTTCTTGAGGGGGGTGGGGGAGTCCAGTCGTGGGGCCTGAACTCTGGGTCTGGGCGCTGTCCCTCAGCTCTTCAGCTCAAGGCTAGCGCTCTACCACTGGAGCCACAGCGCCACTTCCGGCTTTTTTCTTTTTGCTTATGCGGTACTGAGGAATCGAACCCAAGGCCTCATGCATACAAGGCAAGCGCTCTACCACTGAGCCACCTTCTCAGCCCTCACGTTTGTTTTAAGAAGATATTGTTTCTGGGTGCAGTAGCTCACATCTATAACCTTAGCTATTCTGTAGGCTGAGGATTGTAGTTTGAAGCCAGCCCAGGCAGGAAAGTCCATGAGACTTTTTTGTTGTTGGTCATGGGGCTAGCACTCTACCACTTGAGCCACAGCACCACTTCTAATTTTCTGGTCGTTAATTGGAGATAAGAGTCTCATGGAGCTTCTTGCCTGGACTGGCTTTGAACTGCAACCCTCAGATCTCAGCCTCTTAAGTAGCTAGGATTATAGGCTTGTGTCACCAGCGCCCAGCTCTATGAGACTCTTATCTTCAATAAGTGACCAAAAAGTCAGAAGTGGAGCTGTGTCTCAAGTGGTAGAGCACCCAGCCTTGAGTGAAAAAGCACCCAGGTCTTGAGTTAAGCTCTGGTACCAGCATAAGATGGGAGGGAGTCAAGGGAGCGAGCAAGCAAGCACTTAATGCAGCCTCTCAACTACTGGAATTGTAGGTTTGTACTACTATGCCCAACTCAATACACTTGGGGAAGAAAAAAATCTTAACCACTAACCGATTATATAAAATTTATCAAGGAGAATTCTTTTTTTTTTTTTTGTCGGTTGTGGGGCTTGAACTCTGGGCCTGAGTGCTGTCCCTCAGCTCTTCAGCTCAAGGCGAGCGCTCTACCACTTGAGCTACAGCGCCACTTCCAGTTTTCTGGTGGTTTATTGGAGATAGGAGTCTCACGGTCTCTCCTGCCCGGGCTGGCTTTGAACCGGGATCCTCAGATCTCAGCCTCCTGAGTAGCTAGGATTACAGGCGTGAGCCACCAGCGCCCGGCTTCAAGGAGAATTCTTTTGCCCCTAAACCTAGAGAGATTATACAGCTTAAAAACTAACCTGGATTATTTGTTTCTTTTAGTCACCTTGGTTCTGGGATACCCGACAGTGCTGGCATAGCTATCCATATCAGGTAGGAGTTGAATTAGTTAATGATGGGGTTGTATGTGTATATGGCAGGGTGGTTGAGACACGTTTCTTTGATGTTCTTGAGCTTTTTATTCCTAGCTCCCCATTATATGTACCTTAATTGTGCTAGAGAGATGAGCAGTTTGCTGGCACTTAGAAAGTACTTCCTGGCTATGTTCCCTTGTGTCAAGGGCTACTTGGAATCTCCTGAAGAGCATGTACTAGAATAATGCCCGCCCAGCCCCGTGGCTCACGCCTGCAATCCTAGCTACTCAGGAGGCTGAGACCTGAGGATTGCAGCTCAGAGTCAGCCCGGGGAAGATCTGTGAGTCTCTTTATCTCTTAATCTCTTAATCTACCACCAAAAGGCTAGAAATGGGAATGTAGCTCAAAGTAATAGAGTGTTCGTCTTGAGCAAAGAAGCTCAGGGACAGTGCCCAGGCCCAGAGTTCAAGCCCCAGGACTGGCACAAAAAATAAAAACAAAGCAAGAAGCAAGGTATAGCTTAAGTGGTAGAATGCTAGCCTTGAGGGAACAGCCAAGCGAAAGCACAAGACTTTGAGTTCAAGCCCCATTACTGGCACCAAAAAAAAAAAAAGGATGAAAAATATCAGAGAAATGCTAAAGGAGTAGAAGAAGGGAAGGCCTGAGTATATTTTAACTGTCCAGAATTATAGGCTCACTGATTTGTGTTTTAAAATGTGTTAACTTTGGCTAGGAATGTGGCTTAGTAAGAGTGCTTGCCTCGCATACATGAAGCCCTGGGTTCAATTCCTGAGTACCATACACAAAGAAACAACTGGAAGTGACATCGTGGCTCAAGTGGTAGAGTGCTAGTCTTGAGCAAAAGAGGCTCAGGGACAGTGCCCAGGCCCTGAGTTCAAGCCCCAGGACTAGTAAAACAAACAATAAAACATGTTAACTTTATCTCATTATTAAAAGATGAGAACTAAGTTAAGTGTTTAGTTAAGAGTTAAGAGTTGGGCTGGGAAGGTGGCTCAGTGGTAGAGCGCTTGCATTGCATGCCTGAGGCCCTGGGTTCGATTCCTCAGCACCACATAAGCAAAAAGAAAAAAGCCAGAAGTGGCGTTGTGGCTCAAGTGGTAGAGCACTAGCCTTGAGCTGAAGAGCTGAGGGACAGCGCCCAGGCCCAGAGTTCAGGCCCCACTACCGGACCCAAAAAAAGAGTTAAGAGTTAAGTGGTAGAGCAAGAGGGATGAGGCTTATGTCTCTACATCATTTCAAAGCCTTCTTATAGTAGTTCTCAGAAAACAGTGGAGATAAAAGAGATCAAATAATTAAGGGTATTCATCCTCCGATACCAGGAAACTTGCCTAGGTAAAGTACATCTATGATGAACTGATTTTCTAACTACTATTTTTTCTCTTCCAGCCCCTCTCAAGAGGTCTTTTTTACTATTATATCATGGAATTGGCTTTCTATTGGTCTCTTATGTTTTCTCAATTTATAGACATTAAAAGAAAGGTAAGGATATCAGCAACTTCAACTCCTTTCTAGCCCCCACTATTACTGCCATTATGATGATGCATTCTCTTCCCTAACTAAGAAACAAAAAACAGGGAAAGTAGGTGTGATGGGATTATTAGCAATCAATTTGTAATGTTCCCAGAAATGAAATTTCATTAATGATAAAATACATTTAAGAGGGGCTGGGAAGGTGGCTCAGTGGTAGAGCGCTTGCCTTGCATGCCTGAGGCCCTGGGTTCGATTCCTCAGCACCATATAAGCAAAAAGAAAAAAGCCGGAAGTGGCGCTGTGGCTCAAGTGGTAGAGCGCTAGCCTTGAGCTGAAGAGCTGAGGGACAGTGCCCAGGCCCAGAGTTCAGGCCCCACGACCGGACCCAAAAAATAAAATACATTTAAGATGTTCAGGACCCCACCCAGGATGAGAACAATTAATCAGCTGTTAGTCTTTTTCTTATTCTTTCATATTCTTTTTTTTTTTTTTTTGGTCGGTCGTGGGTCTTGAATTCTGGGCCTGGGCACCTGGGCTTTGTCCCTAAGCTCTTAAGCTCAAGGCTAGCACTCTACCACTTGAGCCACAGCGCCACTTCTGGTTTTCTGGTGGTTAACTGGAGACAAGAGTCTCCAGTCCCTGCCTGGGCTGGCTTTGAAAGGTAATCCTCAGTTCTCAGCCTCCTGAGTAGCTAGGATTACAGGGGTGAACCACTGCCACCTGACTTTCTTTCATATTCTTACATGTGTAAAGTTCAGGAAATTAGTCAGAACGTCAGGGTAGCAGGGCCTGATTCCAAAAAGGACTTGATTCCAGGAAAGTCTCTATCTAGTTTGAATGACAGCAAAGATGTTTGCTTGCTTTCTAGTCTTTGCTTTTAGGTTACAGTACTTGGTGAAAGAATGAACTGGAAGGAGTTTTTTTTTGTTTAGTTTTTTTTGGTTTTGGGTCCGGTCGTGGGGCCTGCACTCTGGGCCTGGGCGCTGTCCCTCAGCTCTTCAGCTCAAGGCTAGCACTCTACCACTTGAGCCACAGCGCCACATCGGCTTTTTTCTTTTTGCTTATGTGGTGCTGAGGAATTGAACCCAGGGCCTCATGCATGCAAGGCAAGCACTCTACCACTGAGCCACCTTCCCAGCCCTGAACTGGAAGGAGTTTTATATGATTTATTTTATATTCTTCTGCTACTGTTTAGGAACCAAAGATTCATAAAAGTGAAGTTGACGTTCCAGTATAGTAATAGAGTTGAGGAGGGAAAATTTTATGTAACCAGACATAAAGATATACAAAATATTTCCTTTTTATTGGTGTTTAGCTGACATAACTCTAACCCTAATTTGTCACTCATTGTGTTTGATGAGGAAAACCAGAATTAAAATTTATGGGTCTGGATTGAATCTAATGTCAGTTGTTAGTGTTGACCAGTGTAAAAATTTAATACTCAATTCTGAATGCTTTCATTGTCTTTTGTTTGTTTGTTTTGGTCAATGGTGGGGCTTAAACTCAGGTCCTGAGCACTGTCCCTGTGTTCCTTTACTTTTTTTGGTGGTCTTGGGGCTTGAACTCTGGGCTTGGGCGCTGTCCCTATGTTCTTCAGTTCAAGGCGAGCACTCTACCACTTGAGCCACAGTGCCACTTCCTGTCCCTGTGTTCTTTTGCTCAAGGCTAGTGCTCTACCACTTAGAGCCACAGTTCTACTATAGGTTTTTGAGTGGTTAAATGGAGATAAGGGTTTCACAGGGACTTTTCTGTCTGGGCTAGCTTTGAACCACAATCCTTAGATCTTTACATAAATAAATTTATTTATTTTTATTTATTTTGTCAGTCATGGGGCCTGAACTCTGGGCCTGGGCACTGTCCCTCAGCTCTTCAGCTCAAGGCTAGCGCTCTACCATTTGAGCCATAGTACCACTTCTGGCTTTTTCTGCTTATGTGGTGCTGAGGAATTGAACCCAAGGCCTCATGCATACAAGGCAAGCGCTCTACCACTGAGCCACCTTCCCATCCCCTAGATAAAGAAATTTTCTAATATGTGATATATAAAAAGTTTGAAGCTGGTTGCCAGTGGCTCACGCCTGTAATCCTAGCTACTCAAGAGGCTGAGATCTGAGGATTGCAGTTCAAAGCCAGCCCAGGCAGGAAAGTCCATTAAACATTTTTTGTTGGTCATGGGGGCTGAACTCTAGGCATGGGCACTGTCTCTCAGCTCTTCATATTAAGGCTCTAGCACCCCACCACTTGAGTCACAGTGCCACTTCGGGCTTTTTTCTGCCTATGTGGTGCTGAGGAATTGAACCCAGGGCTCATGCATTCGAGGCAATTACTCAACCACTGAGCCAACCTCCCAGCCCATCCACAAGACTCTTTATCTTCAGTTAATTACCAGAAGTGGCACTGTGGTTTAAGTGGTAGAGCACTAGCCTTGAACTGAAGAGCTCAGGGACAGCACCCTGGCCCAGAGTTCCAGCCCCATGCCCAAAAAAAAAAAAAAAAAAAAAGGCTTGAAATACATGAATGTTTTATTTGTTTTTGTTTTTTTTGGGTCCAGTCGTGGGACCTGAACTCTGGGCCTGGGCGCTGTCCCTCAGCTCTTCAGCTCAAGGCTAGCGCTCTACCACTTGAGCCACAGCGCCACTTCTGGCTTTTTTCTTTTTGCTTATATAGTGCTGAGGAATCGAACCCAGGGCCTCAGGCATGCAAGGCAAGCGCTCTACCACTGAGCCACCTTCCCAGCCCCAACAGGGATGTTTTAAAACAAAATAGCCTATGTTCTTGAGCCCATCACTTCACTCAAGAACCACATCACCATGAATACTGTTGTGTCTGTAGAAAATTACAGGCTTTTGTCTTATTTTTTTTTTCACCCAAATTAACCTGCCTTCTCTTATTCTCTAACCCTCTTAACCCTTATCAACTTGAGTATTAATCAGATATATCTAATAATAATTTAGGGCTGGGAAGGTGGCTCAGTGGTAGAGTGCTTGCCTTGCATGCTTGAGGGCCTGGGTTCGATTCCTCAGCACCACATAGCAGAAAAAAAAATAAAGCCGGAAGTGGTGCTGTGGCTCAAGTGGTAGAGCACTAGCCTTGAGCTGAAGAGCTGAGGGACAGAGTTCAGGCCCCACAACCGGACCCAAAAAAATAATAATAGTAATTTAAAGATTTATCTAGTTCTAGCTTTAGCACTTGAACCCAAGAGAAAAATAGAACCTTAAATTTTGAAAGTAGGAAGTGATAAAAAAAAATGAATAGTTTAGCTAACAAACATTTTTCTGAAGTTTTTTGGAAGAGTTTGATTTTATTCTTCCACTAACATATGTTTTCTGTTAGTTCCCCTTGAAATATCTTTCAGTAAGGCAGAAGAGTCTTTAAGAATAGAGCCAGGTGCTGGTGGCTCACGCCTATAATCCTAGCTACTCCGGAGACTGAGATCTGAGGATCTCATGGTTCAAAGCCAGCCATTAGACTTTTTTTTTTTTTTGGTCGATCATGGGGCTTGAACTCTGGGCCTGGGTGCTGTCCCTCAGCTCTTTAGCTGTAGACTAGACTAGTACTCTACCACTTGAGCCTCAGCCCCACTTCTGGCTTTGTCTGCTTATGTGGTGCTGAGGAATTGAACCTAGGGCCTCATGCATGCAAGGCATGCACTTTACCTCTGAGCCACCTTCCCAGCCCGCCATGAGACTCTTATCTCCAATAAACTATGCAAAAAAAACCAGAAGTGGCACTGTGGCTCAGGTGGTAGAGCCCTAGCCTTGAGCAACGTGTTCAGGTCCTGAGTTCAAGTTCCAGGACCACACTTCCCCCCCAAAAAATATTTAGGGTTTTTGTTGGGGGGGGGGGGAGGGGTTGTTATTTTGCTTTTGTGCTGGTCTTGGTGCTTGAACTCAGGGCCTGGATGCTGTCCCTGAACTTTTTTTACTCAGGGTTAGCACTGTGCCATTTGAGCCGCTTCTGGCTTTTTTGTTAGTTAATTGGAAATAAGAGTCTCATGGACTTTACTGCCCAGTCTGGCTTTCACCTATGACTCTCAGATCTCAGCTTCCTCAGTGGCTAAGATAATAGACATGAGCTACCAGCACCTAGCAGGAGTGTCTAGTTTTTATGCCCCACTGTCACCTGTGAAGTCACTCCCACATGTCAGTTCAGCATCCATGCTCTTTTTGTGCTTTGGGCTATATTAACCAAGACTGTAGTCAGTCATTGATGCCGAGACTGTTGGGTTAAGATGCTAGGCAGCACTCCCCAAGGGAGAATCTAAAGCAAAATGGAGCATATAAGGGATACAGATCCTCAGAGAGTGATTCGAAGCATTGGGTAGGCTAACATTTCTACAGCCTTACCTTTTCCTGAATTTCTATTTCTATTTTTTTCTAGGATTTCCTAATTATGTTTGTGCATCATTTGGCCACCATTGGGCTTATCACCTTCTCCTACATAAACAACATGGTTCGGGTGGGAACACTGGTTCTGTGTCTACACGACTTCTCAGATTGCTGGCTGGAAGTAAGAACCCAATGCTGCTTTCCTCATCATTCTTTTCTAAGAACTGCTTTCTCCCCAACTCAATTTCTATCTTCCTTTGTCCAGGCTGCCAAGCTGGCCAATTACGCTAAGTATCAGCGGCTCTGTGACACCCTTTTTGTGATCTTCAGTGCAGTTTTTATGATTACCCGTCTAGGACTCTTTCCATTCTGGTAAGTTCTAGGGCTATGGAACTGTAGTCATTATGTAGCTAATGATACTTTTTTTTCCCCCAACTCAGTTTTTATTTTGCTCTTGCTTTTTCCTCGACCTAAGATGACCATTTATGGACTCTTCATGGAACCTCAGCTGCCTTATGGAATATTTCTAGTGGAATGTTACCCACAGTCAGAGTATATGTTATATGGCACTGAATTTCCTTATTCATCTCTGTCTACACTCTTCATTTTGTTCCTCAGAAATTCTTTTTTTTTTTTCTTGTCAGTTACGGGGCTTGAATTCTGGGCTTGGGTACTATCCCTGAGTTCTTTTGCTCAATGCTAGCATTCTTCTACCACTTTGAGCTACAGCCCCACTTCCAGTTTTCTGGTGGTTAATTGAAGAGAAGAGTCTCATACCCTTTCCTGCCTAGGCTAGCCTCAAACTGCAGTCCTCAGATCTCAGCCTCCTGAGCAGCTAGGATTATAGGCATGAGCCACTAGTGTATGAATCCATTTCACTTCTGTGGTATCTTTTTTGTTGTTGTTGGTCGTGAGGCTTGAACTCTGGGCCTGGGCGCTGTCCCTCAGCTCTTTAGCTCAAGGCGAGGGCTCTACCACTTGAGCTACAGTGCCACTTCCGGTTTTCTGGTGGTTTATTGGAGATAGGAGTCTCACGGTCTCTCCTGTCCGGGCTGGCTTTGAACCGCGATCCTCATATCTCAGCCTCCTGAGTAGCTAGGATTATAGGTGTGAGCCACCAGCGCCTGGCTCTGTGGTATCTTATGGTATAAAGTCAATGACTGTGAGGGGCTGGGAAGGTGGCTCAGTGGTAGAGCGCTTGCCTTGCATGCCTGAGGCCCTGGATTTGATTCCTCAGCACCACATAAGCAAAAGGAAAAAAGCCAGAAGTGGCACTGTGGCTCAAGTGGTAGAGCGCTAGCCTTGAGCTGAAGAGCTGAGGGACAGTGCCCAGGCCCAGAGTTCAGGCCCCACGACTGAACCCAAAAAATAAAAATTAAAAAATTAAAAAAAAATGTCAATGACTATGAGTTGTAGATTTTGCATAGCCTGAGGGAATCAACCACCTACTACTATCCTCTGAGTGCTTGAAGATCTTATTCATTCCTAAGATTCTAGTGCAATGGCTGTCCCAGTTGTGTGATACTCTACATAGTAGAGGTGTTTCATATTGTGAAATATTAAATCAGTTTCTAAGACCTATATCTCTTCCCCTTCTCCCTAAGGTTCCTTCCTATCCTATGGGCTCCTTCCTTTATTCTTTTTACAGTATGGATGATTTTCCTGGAATTTCAGCTAACAAAGTATGGAGAAGAAACACATAGGATTCTACATCCCAGAGAACTCAGCTTTATCCTTTTCTGCCTAGTTTTGATTCTAGAATCTTAACTTTTTTTGCTTCCCTCTTCTAGGATTCTGAACACAACCCTGTTTGAGAGTTGGGAGATAATTGGGCCCTATCCTTCCTGGTGGTTCTTCAATGGCCTTCTCCTGGTCCTACAAGTTCTGCATATCATCTGGTCATACCTGATTGCACAAATTGCTCTCAAAGCCTTGATCCGGGGAAAGGTGAGAAAGAACGAAGGCTTCTTTGGTCTGTGTGGACAGATGGGTTCTCTCTCTCTCTCTCTCTCTCCCTCCCCCTCTCCTGCTCCCTCTCTCCTTTCTCCTTCTCCCTCCCTCTCTCTCCCTCCCTCCCCCATTTTCTTTCTTTTCCCCTCCCTCCCTCCCTGTCTCTTCGCCCCCCTCTCCTCCTTCCTTTGCCCTTCCTCTATCTCTCCCTTTTTTTCTCCCCCTACCTCCCCACCTCATTTTTTGGTGTGATGAGCCCCAACTACATAAGTAAGCTTGGAGCTCAATAGTTTTTACCTTGACTGTGAATATTTAGCCTCTTAATATATATATGACTTAGTTGGAAAAGGAGGAGTCTAGTACCTTTTAGTCCCTTTAGTGTGATTATTAAGCCAGACACTGGTAGCTCAGGCCTATAATCCAAGCTACTAAGGAGGCTGAGATCTGAGGATTGTGGTTCAAAGCCAGCCAGGGCAGAAAAGTCTCCGTGAGACTCCTATCTTCAATTAGCCAGTCAAAAAACAGAAGTAGCACTGTGGCTTAGGCAGTACTATGCTAGCCTTAATCACAAAGAGGGCTCAGCAACAGTGCCCAGGCCCTGAGTTCAAGCCCCACAACTGACCCACAAAAAAGAGTGACTATTAAATGAGTAGAGTAAGACTGGGAATGTGGCTTAGTGGTAGAGTGCTTGCCCAGGGCCTCATGCATGCAAGGCAAGCGCTCTACCACTGAGCCATCTTCCCAGCCATAGAGTGCTTGCCTAGCATGCATGAAGCCCTGGGTTTGAATCCTCAGTACCACATGAACCGAAAAAGCCAGAAATGGTGCTGTGGCTCAAGTGGTAGAGTGCTAGCCTTGAGCAAAAGCAGCTCAAAGACAATGCCCAGCCCCTGAGTTTAAAGCCCCAGGACTGGCAATCAATCAATAAATGAGTAGGGTTAAGAGTAAGAAGTAACTTCAACTATTTCCTACCCCTTATCTGTCTACTTCAGTGGACCTCATCTTTTTAGTTTTAACATGGAGCCTTTTTTCCCCAAAGGAAATCAATCATATGTAGAGTCTCAATGTATAAACTGAAAGCATATTATAGTTGGATTGCCTGGAAATGTATGGCAGCTCACAAGCTATTTCAAGGTTTTCATACTGCAATATTCAAAATATGGCTTCTATGAGTAACTAAGTTAAGTGCCTACCTCACCCCACTGTTACATGAGGCAAGAGTCTTAAGTAAATGGGTGATTAGCATTTCTACCTGTTGATCTTAGGCCAAGAGCTCCAAAACACGAAGGGAAGTGCTTTCTCTTTTGGGTGGGATGCTTACATGCTTACATGCAAACATTCTACTAGGCATCCCACCAGCCCTGAAAGGTGCTAATTATAAAGCTTAAAATTGAAAATTTCAAGTTTTACAGCAATCAGATTGTGAAGAGCCTTCAGATGGGATGGGCTCTACTGGAGGTGTTTCTAGACCAAACAGATGGAACATAACCTAGATGTTTATGATCTCTGTAGCGTTGTTCTTTATGGCTACCATTAGTTTCAGAACTTTCTCAGTGTGCCTGTGCATCCTGTTCTCCCCTGCTTTTCTTTCCTGACCAGGTGACCTACCCGGGAAGAATCAGGCCCAGACTCTGTACTCTCCATTCTTTTCTCACCTCCTTGCTTTTCTCTATGCCTGGTGAGAGCTGGACAGTTTCATCTCTTGCATGTAAGTGTATCTGTACTTCTAGTGTTCCTGGAAGCATGTCTGCCCGAGTGTTTGTCTTTCTTCCTGCTGTCCTTTCTGTTCCCCTTGTTTGTTTCAGAGCAAGCCCTTTTTCCTGATCCAGAGGGACTATTGATGGGAGCTGAAGTTGCGAGAGTTAACCCTGCTTTAATTGTAAAATCTTTTTTAAAATTTTTGCATTTGAGCCTTCCTAACCTCAAATGTAAAGACATTCTGCCCTCTGGTGGAACTTTCCCAAAGTTCAGGTAATCAATTCATCTGGGTTTTGGAGGTATTTAATATGCTTAATATGCAGGAAAGTTTGGACTGTTCTTAGGCTAGGAATGTGGCTCGGTGGTAGAGTGCTTGCTTAGCATGCATGAAGCCCTGGGTTTGATTCTTCATACCACATAAACAGAAAAAGCTGAAAGTGGTGTCATGTCTCAAGTGGTAGAGTGCTAACCTTGAGCTGAAGAGCTCAGGAACAGCACTGAGGCCCAGAGTTCGAGTCTCATGGCCAACAAAAAAAAAGAAAGAAAATATTGTTCTCTGCTGGGCACTGGTGGCTCATGCCTGTAATTCTAGCTACTTAGACGGCTGAGTTCTGAGGATCGCAGTTCAAAGCCAGCCTGGGAAAAGTCCATGAGACTGTTGTCTCCAGTTAACCACCAGAAAACCAGAAGTGGTGCTGTGGCTCAAGTGATAGAGCACTAATCTTGAGCTGAAGAGCTCAGGGACAGCACCCAAGCCCAGAGTTCAAGCCCCATGACTGACCAAAAAAGAAAAGAAAAGCTAATGATTCACAAATGGTAGAGTGATTGCAGCTGGAATTCTATTCTTACTGACAATCTTATTATTGTTTTTACTATACTATGTGTCTTGGGCGTGCTAAAGTTTCAAAAGAGAAGTAATCTATTGGAAGAGGAGCCTAGGAAATAATGTCATAGTTATACTGGGAATAGTAATATTACTGAAAAGGACCCATTATGGATCAGCTTTGAGGACAAAGCAAAACTGAGGATAACCAATGCGAATGAATGTTGCATCCACAACCACCACAAGTTAGAATTAAAAACGACAGTCTCTTTGTTGCTTGTGTTTGCCTTCTTTGTTCTTTGAGGTGGAGAAGAGTAACTGGAGCTTTCTTTAAACCTAAACTAGGATTCAGTGAATGGTATAACTTCTCTTAGGCTAGATCTGAAAAACACACCCATCCTCCAATGCAGATTCTAATGAGACAAAAACAAAATCAGATGGGCCGGGCGCTGGTGGCTCACGCCTATAATCCTAGCTACTCAAGAGGCTGAGATCTGAGGATCGTGGTTCAAAGCTAGCCCGGGCAGGAAAGACCATGAGACTCTTGTCTCCAATAAACCACCAGAAAACCAGAAGTGGCTTTGTAGCGGTAGAGCGCTAGCCTTGAGCTGAAGAGCTGAGGGACATCGCCCAGGCCCAGAGTTCAAGCCCCACGACTGACAAAAACAAAACAAAATCAGAGATAGAAAAACAGAAAGCTAGCAAAGGATGTTCACAACAACAGCCCTGTTGTTCCAGTGACAACAATGCACAAATATGAGCTCTGTGAGTTTAGTCTGCTCTATGATTCTTTCAAGAAAAGTTCTGGGGGCTGGGAAGGTGGCTCAGTGGTAGAGCGCTTGCCTTGCATGCATGAAGCCCTGGGTTCGATTCCTCAGCACCACATAAAAGAAAAAAGCTGGAAGTGGTGCTGTGGCTCAAGTGGTAGAGCGCTAGCCTTGAGCTAAAGAGCTGAGGGACAGCACCCAGGCCCAGAGTTCAGGCCCCACGACCGGACTCCCCTGCCCCGCCCAAAAAAAAAAAAGAAAGAAAAAGAAAAGTTCTGTATTCACTTTTCTGCCTTTGCTCCCAACCTACCCAGGTGTCTAAGGATGATCGCAGTGATGTGGAAAGCAGCTCAGAGGAAGAAGATGAGGCCAAGAACACAAAAGACCTCTCTGGAAGCAACTCTGGCAGTGGTGCCAATTGTGTGAATGGCCACCTTGGAGATGGCTACTGGGCTGAAGAGTAAGGGGCATGGGAACTTGAGCACACATGGACTTGTAGGGCTGCTCCTACTCCTGGGGCCTCCCCGCAACTGCCCTCCTGTGAATAGAGGGACAGTGAGGCACCAAAGAAACAAATACTTTTTTTTTTTAACTGTCATTTTGTATTTAATGCCCTCCAAGTCCTTTCAGTAATGTTATTTGCTCTTCGTGTGTGTTTATGTATGCGTTTACGCATGTGCTCTGTGCATATGCATGGGTGTTATCGCCTAGGTTGTGACACAGCTGTGGACTAAGGCCACTAGGCCATGCCTGGTCTCTTTTGAATCCACTAGCCAAATTCCAGAGTCCTCCCTTGTGGCCTGTGGCTTTTGAGATTGATTTCCTGGACCATCTGAATGAAGCACACAGGTTCAGCTCTAAGTTTCTATACTGTTCCTCTTTTGGTACAGGAAGGGATATTTCACATTGTCAAGCTGTTTAAAAACAGAACCTTGGATGGGTGGCCAGGATCCTTGTGGTCCCTAGCTAGACTCTTTCTACCACCTATGATGGTGACAGGGACAACTGCTTATACCCTGTTCTTTACTCAATGGTACACAGGGAGGGGGTATATAAGGATAAGCTGAGGGCCAGAGTACAACAGCCACTGGGTGAGCTGTTAACGGTTTTATACTATTGTTTACTCTTCTGTGATTAAAGTGCTTCAACCCTCCTATACCATCTGTGCCTCTTTATAGTGACTCTATCACTAACTTCTTGAAGTCATAAAATAATGAAAGTTTTTTTTGTATTTTGTTTTCTAGAGACAAGGTAGGTCTTCTATGTCTTCCTGGTTGGCCTTGACTTTACAGTCATCCCACCTCAGCCTCTGAGTGCTAGGATTATAGACATCATCCCTAATTAAGAATATTTTAGGCTGGGAAGGTAGGTCAATGGTAGAGTGCTTATCCTGCATGCATGAGGCCCTGGGTTCGATTCCTCAGCACCACATAAGCAAAAAAAGCCGAAAATGGCACTGTGGCTCAAGTGGTAGAGTGCTCACCTTGAGCTGAAGAGCTGAGGGACAGTGCCCAGGCCCAGAGTTCAGGCAGCTGAGGGACAGTGCCCAGGCCCAGAGTTCAGGGCCCACGACTAACAAAAAGAAAAAAGAAAGAAAAGAGTATTTTAGGTTTGGGAATGTGGCTTGTGGTAGAGTGCTTGCCTAGCATGTATGAATTCCTCGGTATCTGGGTTCAATTCCTCGGTATCTCAGTCTCCTGAGCAGCTAGGATTACAGGAGTGAGCCTGTTATAAACTTGCCAGTTGCTTCCCCTCATACTCCCATGAGTTAGAGCAGCTGAAGCACAGTTAACAGCAGCTTTCCTCAGGTGGCACGGCTCTGGCCCTCAGCAATCCCATGCCCCACCCTGTGAGCTCCTTCACTCCATCCCCACTGAGTGCTAGTCCCAGGACTAGCATACACACACAAAAGAAATTGGGTTCTGCAGTTTTGGGAGCTGAAAATCTGAGAGTCTGCATTTGTAAAGTTGGAGACCTGGGGGGCCATGTTGTAGTTCTGTACAAATCAAAAGGCCTCAGAACCAGGAAGAAGCTTATAAGGTAAGTTATAGGCTGAGTCCAAATCAGGAGACAAGTAAAAAGCCAGGCACCAGGGGCTCATTCCTATAATCCTAGCTACTCAAGGCACTAGCTTGAGCTAAAGAGGTCAGGGACAGGGGCTGGGAAGGTGGCTCAGTGGTAGAGCACTTGCCTTGCATGCATGAGGCCCTGGGTTCTATTCTTCAGCACCACATACGCAAAAAGAAAAAAGCCGGAAGTGGCGCTGTGGCTCAAGTGGCAGAGTGCTAGCCTTGAGCTGAAGGACAGAGTTCAGGCCCCACGACCAGACACCCCCCCCCCCCCCAAAAAAAAAAGAAAGAGGTCAGGGACAGCACTCAAGCCCAGAGTTGAAGCCCTATGGCTGACAAAAAAAAAGAAAGCAAAGAAAGAAAGATGAGTCTTCTAGGCGCTCCTAGGACTTGTGACGAGACCTTAGGGAAAAGAAATGACTTTATAAACAAGCTTATGTCCCTGCAGAGGTATGAAAATGAAGATACAAGATTGTTTATATTTCCCCCTTTTGCTTCAGGAAGATCTCATATGGCATGTCTCACCAAGAGTTTAAGAAATCCTTACTTAAGAAAGATATAGGATCTGCTTTTACTCAGATGACTTTCATGAAAACCATCCTAAAACATTGCTGTATGAAGGTAATAATCTGAATCCCTTGATGTAGCTTAGTATTCCTCACTTTCCCTAAGGGTTCCGTGTACAAGCTATAACCTGTTACCAAGGCTAGAAGTGAATACCCAGGATAGGAAAGCCATGGTGTTCTCACCTTGTTCTTTAGTGCTTCTTTCCTGAGTCTCTGGCTTCAGATTAGTAGATAAAACCAAAGGAGAATTTGTCTAGTATGTATGTACTTGTGTGCATAGAAACACACTGATACAGAAGAATACCCTAAACTGGTTAATTTTGGCTATTTCTGAGTAGAAGATCAGGAAAGGGGAAGTGACAACAGCTACTATTAACTATATTTTAAAAAATTTTTTTGTTTTTTCTTGGGTCCGGTCATGGGGCCTGAACTCTGGGCCTGGGTGCTGTCCCTCAGCTCTTCAGCTCAAGGCTAGCACTCTACCAATTGAGCCACAGCGCCACTGGCGGCTTTTTTCTTTTCTCTGCTTATATGGTGCTGAGGAATCGAACCCAGGGCCTCATGCATGCAAGGCAAGAGCTCTACCACTGAGCCACCTTCCCAGCCCCTATTTTAAAATATTTTACACGCACGCCTATAATCCTAGCTATTCAGAAGGCTGAGATCTGAGGACCGCGGTTCAAAGCCAGCCGTGGCAGGAAAGACCGTGAGACTCATCTCCAGTAAAGCACCAGAAAACTGGAAGTGGTGCTGTGGCTCAAGTGGTAGAGCACTCACCTTGAGCTGAAGAGCTCAGGCCCAGAGTTCAAGCCCCACAACTGACCAAAAAAAAAAAAAATTACACTGAAAACATATTCATGCATTGAGCTCTTATCAAATTTATAGCTAGCCAAACATGGTGGTTCATATTTATAGTCCCAGGACTGGAGAAGTAAAAGCAAGAAGATCCTGAGTTTGATGCCAACCTGGGCTACTTGCAGTGCCAGGCAAGCACTCTTCCACTGAGTTACAGCTCCACCTGCAATACATAATGAGACCCTGTTTCCAGAGAAAAAGAAAACTACTTTTGGCTGGGTGCCAGCGGCTCACACCTGTAATGCTAGCTACTCTGGAGGCTGAGATCTAAGGATCACAGTTCAAAGCCAGCCCAGGCAGTAAAGTCTGTGGGACTCATCCACTTAACCACCCAGAAAACCAGAAGTAGAGCTGTGACTCAAAGTGGTAGATTACTATACTTGAGCAGAAGAGCATAGGAACAGCCCCCGGGCCCTGAATTCAAGCCCATGACCAACTATATTTTTAAGTACAGCTTGGCAATGTGTTGATTAACAGTTCAAACTGAGGGGAAAGCCAAGCACCAGTGGCTCATGCCTGTAATCCTAGCTACTCAGAAGGCTGAGATGTAAGGATTGTAGTTTGAAGCCACTCTCAATAGGAAAGATGATAAGACTTATTTTCAATTAGCCACCAAAAAGCCAGGAACTGGGGCTGGGAAGGTGGCATAGCAGTAAAGTGCCTGCCCCTCACGTATCAGGTCCTGGTTCAATCCCTCAGCACCACCTAAACAGAAAAGGCCGGAAGTGGCACTGTGACTCAAGTGGTAGAGCGCTAGCCTTGAGCTAAAGAGCTGAGGGACAGTGCCTAGTACCTAGAGTTCAAGCCCCACAACTGACAAAAAAAAAAGCAACAGAGGTTTTGCTCAAGTAGTAGAGCATCAGCCTTGAATGAAAAAGCTAAGGGACAGTGCCCAAACCTTGAGTTCAAGAAGCCTCAGTACTGGCACAAAATATTTTTTAAAAGTATGGGGCAACTGTACAGGCATTTCCTTACTACTGAAACGTGAGGATGAGGTGGAAACAAAGTGGGTCAGCTCTTGGGCATGTATCATGCTAAGGAGCCTCAACTTATCCCTACGAGGGATGTTTTCAAAGGCCATTTGAATACTTACATTATTTGTGGGCCACACAAAATTATCAATATAGTCAAAATTGTGGGCAACAGATGAGAAGGCACATGAGAAGTATGTGTCTGTCTTAACAGGTACCAAATGATTTCAATGGGCCTATTATGTAAGTCCAGTGGGACAGTGCAGGGCAAGGATTTTTAATCCATCATTGATGAAATTCAGACAGGACCTTTTTTCTTTTTTCTTTTTCAGTCCTGGGGCTTGAACTCAAGGCCCTTTTGCTCAAGGTTAGCACTTTACCACTTGAGCCACAGTGCCATTTCTGGCTTTTTCTGTTTATGTGGTACCCAGGGCTTGATGCATGCTAGGCAATCACTACCACTAAGCCACATTCCCAGCCCCAGAGAGGATCTTCAACAAGACAGTGCCATACTCAAAGCTGTTTCAAATTATCTCTGGATCCAAACATGGCACATAATTTTGATGAAATCAGCATTGGAATTAAGATCACAAAAAGACTTCCACAAAAAAAAAAAAAAAATGGTAAAACTGATTAAATGTTCAACTGTAAATATATAAACATTGTGTTCACAGCTGGGCACCGGTGGCTCACACCTGTAATCCTAGCTATTCAGGAAGCTCAGATCTGAGGATCATGGTTCAAAGTCAGCTCCAATTAACCTCCAGAAAAGTGGAAGTGGCACTGTGGCTCAAGTGGTAAGACTGCTTACCTTGAGTTGAAGAGCTGAGGGACAGTGCACAAGCCCAGAGTTCAAGCCCTACAACTGACCAAAAAAAAAAAAAATTGTGTTCACAATAGCCAAATAGTGGAATCAGTGAAGATGCCCAATAATAGATGAATGGATAAAGAAGACATGGCACATGTATACTATGGATTGTTACAAGGGCATAAAGAAAAAATGAAATGTCATTCACAGGAAAATGGATAGCACTGGATAACATTATGTTGAGCAGTATACTGAAGCTCAAAAGCCAAATACATGTTTTTACTAATATTTGGAGAGTAGAAAAAATATTCATGGATATGTACACCAACATATACATCTATATACACACACAACATGATTCTAACTATAGGACTATATGCATGAAGGGAAGGGATAAAGGTAGATAGGCTGTATAATTTTGAACTGCAACTATTTAAAGCATAAGGAATCTCAATGAGAGATGTTGATCAATAGAACTGGGGGAGAAAGGGTTATTCTGAGAAAAACCTAATATACATGCGTGGTGAAATCCTTTGGTGCAACTAATACATACTAAAAACCAACAACAAAAACAATCAAGAAAGTAAAATAGGATGTTTTACCATCAGGCGGCAGGAAGGCTAATGAGGAAGGCAGGAGGGCAAATGAGGTTGAAGTGTTTTATTTGAGAACAATAACAAGCCTGTTGAAATTGTTTTAGTAAGGAGGGGAAGTGGTAAGGTGGATCAGGATACATTGTACATGTGTGTGGAAATGTCATAGTGAAACCCCCCCAGGTACAATTAATGTATGGTAATTTTTTTAAGCCATTAAGAATCTAGGGAGAACTTACTGAATTCCAATGGGCCATGAATAAAACTTCGGAGAACATTGATATTTAAACAGGGCAGAGAAAGTTCCAAAGTAAATCAATAGGAAAAGTCAAAAGAGAAGAAAAAAGGTAATGTTTCCTTCTTTCTGGTAGCCAAAGCACAGAAACAAGAGGACTAAAAAGCAGCAGCAGATTTGGGGCAATGGAGATCTTGCTGGAACAGAATTTCAATGGGTGGAGGGGGAGGAATTTTGCTCAAGTTTGTTTGTTTGTGTCTAGTCGTGGGGCCTGAACTCTGGGCCTGGGCGCTGTCCCTCAGCTCTTCACCTCAAGGCTAGCGCTCTACCACTTGAGCCACAGTGCCACTTCTGGCTTTTTTCTTTTTGCTTATATGGTGCTGAGGAATCAAACCCAGGGCCTCAGGCATGCAAGGCAAGCGCTCTACCACTGAGCCACCTTCCCAGCCCCATTTGCTCAAGTTGGAAGTGGCAACATCACATAAAACTTCACTAACCTTCACTTCCTTTTTGTGGAAGTACAGGACCTCAGGCAAGTTCATACACTGGGAAGAGGATGAGTTAACCAAAACAGAACCAGCCAGGCACCAGTGGCTCATCTTGTCATCCTAGCTACTCAGTAGGCCAAGATATTGATTTGAAGCTAGCCTAGTTAGGAAAACCCATGAATTTCTTATCTCCAATTAATCACCAAAAAGCTAGAAGTAGAGTAGGGGGCTCAAGTGGCAGAGTACTAGCCTTGAGCAAAAAAGGTTAAGGTTAGCACCCAAGACCTGAGTTCAAGCTCCAGAACCAGCACACACACACACACACACACACACACACACACACACACACACACACACACACACGTAAGAAAAAACTGTAGAGAGCAGTTTCCAACAATTGTTCAGAATAAGCTATGGGCACAGGCTGGACAAGGAAGCATTTGATAGATTTTAAGAGAAGGAATCAGACAATAAACCCTCAAATTCTAAAGTAGGGTGGGAAGTCAAGCACTGGTGGCTCATGCCTGCAATCCTAGCCACTCAGGAGACTGAGATGGGAGGTCATGGTTCAAGCTAGCCCAGGCAGAAGTCCCCATGAACCTCCAATTAATCACTCAAAAACCAGAAGTGGCGCTATAGCTCTAGTGGTAGAGAGATAGCCTTGAGAGCACCAAGAGGCTCAGGGACAGTGCCCAGGCCGAGTATAAGCCCCACAACCAACAGAATAAAGTAGAAATGAAAATGTAGGTTCATCAAAAAGGACTTATTACATTGGAGCAGAGAATACTACTTGAATGTGGCAGTGCAGAACTAGGAAAATAATTACACTTACTGTTTAACAAGTAAGAGTGGATATAGCAGAGTCCTCTGTGTCAACACACCAACAGGAGGCAATAAGGGGTTCAAAACACAGCAAAACTGGGATTTGTTTTGTTTGCAGCACTGGGGATTGAACGCAAGCAAGGCTAAGCAAGAGCTCTACCATTTTAATTACATGTGTACCCCAACCTGCAGAAGATATGGTATATAAACACCATGGGAAATAACAGATTTATTGCAGTGCTTAAACAGATTTATTACAAGCAAAGAGTTTGAGGCAATAATAGTCTTACCAACAAAGAAAAGCCCAAACCCAGCTTTTTTCCACCCCTTTGGAAGAAGGGTGTCTTGTTATGTAGCTAAGGCTGGCCTTAGCTACAATTTTCCTGCCTCAACCTCCCAAGGGCCAGAATCATAAGTATACACAACTATTCCCAGTTTGGTGGGGTTTTTTTTTTGTCGGTCATGGGGCTTGAATCTGGGCCCAGGTGCTGTCCTTCAGCTCTTCGGCTCAAGGCTACTGCTCTACTACTTGAACCACAGTGCCACTTCCAGTTTTCTGGTGGTTTATTGGAGATAAGAGTCTCATGAACTTTCCTGCCCTGGCTGGCTTTGAACCATGACCCTCAAATCTCAGCCTCCTGAGTAGCTAGGATTACAGGTGTAAGCCACCGGCACCCAGCTTTTTTTTTTTTTTTTAATTTTATGGTTTAGGGTTTGAACTCAGGGCTATGAGCTTGCTTAGCTTTCTTGCTTCTTCAGATAGCATTTTATAATTTTAGTGGCCCCTCTAGCCAGGCTTTTTGCTGATTATTTTGAAGATGGAGTTTTGGACTTTTTTTTGGTCCGTCGTGGGGCCCAAACTCTGGGCCTGGGCACTCTACCACTTGAGCCACAGCACCACTTCTCGGTTTTTCTGCTTATGTGGTACTGAGGAATCAAACCCAGGGCCTCATTCATGCAAGGCAAGCCTCTACCACTGAGCCACCTTTCCAGTCCCTGGACTTTTCTTATTGGGCTGGCTTCAAATCTCAATCCTCTGGCTCTCAGCTTCCTGAGTAGCTAGGATTACAGGCATAAACCACTAGCACTCAGCCTAGCTATTTCTTTTATTGGCAGTTCTAGGTATCAACTACAGAGCCTTGCATATACTAGCATTCTACCACTAAGCTATACACCCTGCCCCAAACCTGTTTTTCTCAATAATAATGAGTTTATGACGATAGAAAAGTCAGACCAAGCCAGAAGTGGTGCTGTGGCTCAAGTGGTAGAGCACTGGCCTTGAGCTGAAGAGTTGAGGGACAGAGCCCCAGGCCCAGAGTTCAGGCCCCACGACCGGACCCCCCACCCCCCCAAAAAAAAAGTTAAAAAAAAAAAAGAGACCAGTACATGATAGCATGGGAGAAAAAAAGATGTCCTCCGGGGCTGCCATTTTAGACAATCAACAAAAGTGATAACTCTAAATGAGTGGTTCCCAAGTAGTTGGGAAACTGAGGCAGGACTGCACGTTTGAGGCCAGCCTGAGCAATTTAGTGAGAATTTGTCTGAAAGTAAAATTTATTTTTTTGTTGGTCGTGGGCCTGAACTCTAGGCCTGGGCACTGTCCCTCAGCTCTTCAGCTCAAGGCTGCTCTACCACTTGAGCCACAGCACCACTTCCAGCTTTTTTTGCTTATGTTGTGCTGAGGAATCAAACCCAGGGCTCATGCATGTAAGGCAAGCACTATACCACTGATCCACATTCCCAGTCCCTGAAAGTAAAAATTTAAAAGGAGGCTGGGGATGTAACTTAGTGGTAGAGTTATTGCCTAAATATGTAAGACCCTGAGTTCAATTCCCCATATTTCTACCTCCCAAAAAAGCTCTAAAAGCTGGGTACTGGTGGTTCATGACTGTAATCCTAGCTACTCAGAAGGTGGAGATCTGAGGATCACAGTTCAAAGTCAGCTCAGGCAAGAAAGTCTGTAAAACTTAATCATAGAAAAGGCTGGAAGTGGCACTGTGGTTCAAAGTGGTAGAGCAATAGCCTTGAACAAAGAGCCCAGGGCTCAGGCCCAGAGTTCGAGCCCCAGGACTGGGAAAAAAAAAAACAAAAAAACTCTAAAATGGAATGGTGGTAAGAATTTCTCTTCATTGTGCACTGGATATACTGCTTTCAAGTCTTCACATATCTCTAAAACCTGCAGGCAAATTCCTTGTGCAATTGCATAGTCAAAATCTACTCCAGGGCTGATTCCACACATACTGGACTTAAGAAACTGAACTGCTTTAGTATGCACACTGCCCAACAGCTCTTCTTTTGGGAACTAGTCCTTTTTCACTTCATGTATTAGGGCTGTCAAACAAGGGCTTCCCTTGCCTCACACAGAGGTACAAGTATAGCCACTCTGGCTAGCGTTCCTCATTTCCTAAACACAGTAGTTGGTCTAAGAATGGACAATGCCCAAAGAGCTTTATACAGGAGATTTGCATAAATGGTAATACAGGGATTAGGAGTGTAGTATAGTGGTAGAATACATGCTTAGTATTGCATGAGACTCTTTAAAAAAGAAGCCAGGCACTGGTGGCCTGTAATTCTAGCTATTCGAAAGGCTGAAATCTGAGAATATAAGCCAGCCTGGGCAGAAAAGTCCAGACTCTATCTCAAATTAACCCCCAAAAAGCTGGAAGTGAAGTTGTGGCTCAAGTGATAAGAGTTGCTAGCCTTGGGCAAAAAAGCTAAGGGACAATGCCTAGGCCCTGAGTTCAAGCCCCAGGACTGGCACAAAAGTAAATTAATCAATTAATTAATTAAAAAATAGATAAGTTTTTTCACCAAGATCATGAGGCTTGATACCACCACTACTGTTAAAACTATAATCCCCCCAACTCAAGGGGCTAAAAGCTCTAGATACAGTAATCTAAGTATACAACTAGAACACTAGAAGACTATGGTCCCTATAATTTAGCTAAACACAAACACCAAAACACAGACATGGAAAAATATTTAATGTCTATAAGGTATACCTCACCCTCACATTCCTATTTATTCAACAGACTCCACAAACAGGCACCAACTAGAAGTATCAGACAAACCATAGGTTCTTTCTTCAGGCAGGATTTGAAAATCATCAGGGTCATAAATCCTCTTAACCTGGCAAGGACTGTAGGGGAAAGTCTTCCCATAGCATGCCTTAGGCCTCACTGCTCAAGAGAAAATGACCAAATTCTACAGGGTTCCCGAGGTCTTCTGTTCTTCTGCAGCCTGGCGCTGGGTGCTGCGCCGCTGGAAATAGTGGTAGGCTCGGACACTGCAGAGGTAGCCCCCATACACAGTGAGCAGCAGCATGGAGGTGGAGAAGGTCTTGTAGCCAATATCAGCTAGCTGCTTGACAGATGGCATGTTGTCCCCTACAAAGACAGATTGTATTTAAACCACAGCATAAGGCCTCACCTCCCTTATCTGTCTCCCTACTTTAGGGCCATTCCATAACTTCTGCTTCCCCATGTTGGCAAGGTCTGATTACTGGATAACATGATTTAGGATGATCTCAAAGGGCAAATGAAGTCTGCATGTGAGATATAGACAGGATGACAGAACCAGAGGCATCTGAATGCCACTACAGCTAACACTTGGTCTTCTGCATTTGTGGGAAGAGTGAATGGCCCACCAACAACTTTTCCTTCCTAATTGGCACATCATTTTGATACATACACCAGTTTTTCTGGCTAGTAGAGAACCTAATGGATGTAGCCAGGTTTAAACACAGGCAGTGAATTATTTTCCTAGAAACAGACAATTTAATTCACAGTGGTTAGGTTCCCAAGTTAGGCTTTTTGTTTCTCATTTAAAAAAAAAAGTTGACAGGTGCCAGTGGCTCATGCCTGTAATCCTAGCTACTCAGGAGGCTGAGATCTGAGGATCACAGTTGGAAGCCAGCCTGGGTAAGAAAGCCTGTGAGACTCTTACCTCTACTAAACTACCAAAAAAAATCAGTAATGGAGCTGTGGCTTAGCCTTGAACAAAAGAAGCTCAAGGACAGTGTCTAGGTCATGAGTCCAAGCCCCAGCTCTGGCACCAGCATCCCTGCCCCCCTCAAAAATAAAAGTTGTATAAGAGGAGTTTTATTGTGACATTTACATACATATATACAATGTACCTCATTCAAACTCATCCTCTCCTCCTCTTTCTTAAGCCTCCTCCCACTCCTTAAAGCAAGTTCAATGTTGTTTTATTATTCTTTCTTTTCTTTTGTGCTAGTACCAGGGCTTGAACTCAGGGACTAGAACTCTTGCTCAGCTTTTTTGTTCATAGCTGGCACTGTACCCCTTGAGCCATACCTCCATTCTAGCATCTTGCTGATTTATTAGAGACAGAATCTCTTGGACATTTTTCTGCCTAGGCTGACTTCAAATATCATTCCTCAAATCTCAGTCCAGGTTGCTAGGATTGTCCCATTTTTCTAGTTTCATACATGCATATAAAGTACTTCAACCATACTCACCCTCATTCACTTTCGCTATTGGCCTTCTGTGTGTGTGTGTGTGTGTGTATAAACGTGTGTGCTCACGTGCACACACACATGCACTTATCACACACTGGTCCTAGGGTTTGAACTTTCCTTCCTGGGCTGGCTTTGAACCCACATTCCTCAGATCTCAGCCTCCTGAGTAGCTGGGATTTTAAGCATGAGCCATAAGCGCCAGGTTTTTTATTTATTTATTTTTATTATTATTATTTTTTTGCCAATTGTGGGGCCTGAACTCTGGGCCTGGGCACTGTCCCTCAATTCTTCAGTTCAAGGCTAGTTAGTGCTCTACCACTTGAGCCACAGTACCACTTCTGCTTATGTGGTACTGAGGAATTGAACGCAGGGCCTCATGCATGCAAGGCAAGCACTCTACCACTGAGCCACCTTCCCAGCCCTTATTTTACTTTTTTAAACAAGGGCCTCACTAGGTAACCCAGACTTCCCAAGTGCTAGGATTACAGATTGCATCACCACTTCTGACTCCTAAGTTAGTCTCAACGAAAGGGTTTTTTTTTTTGGTTGTTGTTTTTTGGTCGGTTGTGGGGCTTGAACTCTGGGCCTGGGTGCTGTCCCTCAGCTCTTCAGCTCAAGCCTAGCACTCTACCACTTAAGACACTTCTGGTTTTTCTGGTGGTTTATTGGTGATAAGAGTCTCACGGACTTTCTTACCCAGGCTGGCTTTGAACCGTGATCCTCAGACCTCAGCCTCCTTAGTACTTAGTTACAGGCATGAGCCACAAGTGCCCGGCTCAAGGCAAGTTTAAGCCATCATATTTCCATAAATTATTTTCTTTGCTTTTTTGAGACAGAGGCTTGCTAAGAAAGCCAGGCCAGCCTGGAATTTGCTCTGTAATCTAAGGTAGTCTCAAACACCTTTCTTTTTTTTTTTTTGGTGGTTGTGAGGCTTGAACTCAGGGCCTGGCCACTGTCCCTGAGCTCTTATGCTCAAGGCTACCACTTTGAGCCACAGTGCCACTTTTGAGTGGTTAATTGGAAATAAGAGTCTCACTGGGACTTTTCTACCAGGGGTGGCTTCAAACCTTTATCTCAGATCTCAGCCTCTCGAATAGCTAGGATTACAGGCGTGAGCCATCAGTGCTGGGCTTCAAACTTCTTCTCTTTCTGCCCCAGCCTCCCAAATGCTAGGATTATTTCTAATTTAACTGTTTTCTACTATTCTGAACTAGGAAGCTAAAGAAAGTTTCACATGGAAAAATCTTACAAGACCAAAATGTTTTTCAATTTGAGACTATGAATGTATTCTTATATTGCTTTCTGTTGAAGGAACTGAAATTAATTTCTTTAAAAAATATTAGCCATTGACTGGGAATGTGGATCAGTGGTAGAGTGCTTGCCTAGTATGCATGAAGCCCTGGGTTCAATTCTTCAGTACCACATAATGAAAAAAGAGCCGAACGTGCATTGTGGTTCAAGTGGTAGAGTGCTAGCCTTAAGCAAAAGAAGCTCAGGGACAGTGCCTAGGCCCTGAGTTCAAGCCCCAGCACTGAGAGAAAAAAAAAAAAAATAGCTGTACTGGGGCCTCACATGGCTAGGCAAACAATCTACCAATAAACCACAACTCCAGCTCTTTTTACCACTGGTTATGTGACACAAGGCCTTGCTTACTTGCCAAGTATGTTCCTATATGGCAGTTTGCCTGTTTTAGGCTTCCCATCATGGCTGGGATGAAGGTGAGCACCCTAACACTCAACTTCTTTCCACTGTGATGGAGTCTTACAAACCTTTCTGTCTTGGCTGACTAGAACCACCATCCTTCCGATCTTAACTTCCCACACGCTGGGATGACAGACTCCTGTTACCACGCCCAGATACTGGCTGGGAAAGGATCTGTGTGCATCCAGCCTCAACCCATGATCCTATCTCAGCTTCCCAAGGAGCTAGGATTACAGACTTGAAATACCAGCACAGCACTAAAAATTGGTTTCTTTAAATCAGAAAATTTGGGCTAGATATGGTGGTGCTAGAAGAGTGACACAAGGTCTAGTAGTATGTAGAAACTCATTCTGGGATTACAAATGTGTGCCACCACACTGGCTGAGAATGCCAGTTTTGTTCCACTTATTGATAAGGAAGATTTGAATATGTCTTAAAGGGGAAGAAGGTGGTGGCTAAATTAAGGATAAAAGGAGGCAAAATGAATAGAAAAAAATGAAATTTGAAATCTAGGTAGGATTAATCTTGGAAATGAAATAAACTTTTGAAAAGTATAGTTTAGATGTACGAGGGGGATTGTGACATTTCCATACATGTATGCAATGTATCTCAATCAAACTCATCCTCTCAATCTCTTTACAACACTACTCTCTTCTTCACATAATTTCAACAGATTAATTCTCTAATTGGATATGAAAAAGTTTGAGCCAGGCGCCAATGGCTCACACCTGTAATCCTAGCTACTTAGGAGGCTGTGAACTGCGGATCACGGTTGGAAGATTACCAGAGGGCTGTGGCTCAAAGTGGTAGAGGGCTAGCCTTGAGCAAAAAGAGATCAGGGACCGGCGAGAGGAAGAGAGAGGGAGAAAGAGAGGGAGAGGAAGGGGGGGGGGAGACAAGAGAAAAAAAGAGAGGGAAGGAGGAAGGGAGAGGGAGAGAGGAAGAGAGAGAACGCCTTTTTGATTAGCAGAATGTTCCCATTTGTTCCTGCGCAAGTGGGGATTAGGCTGCAAGTTTCAGAAAAATATAAGGAAAACCATGGTGGGGTGGGGGGAGCCACGGGGGTGGAGGAGGCCGATGGCAGAGTTAGAGGCTTGACTCAGGTGGCAGAGCTCTTGCCAATGAGCTTATAGCGTCAGATGCCAAATTCGAATTCTGATCACACACACACACACAAGGCCACGGTGATATAATTTGCAAGTCTGTGGGAGGAACTCAGGCACAAGTTCCTCCTCTCCAATGGCTCATTTCAACCTTAGAGATTCACTCATTGATCCATCGGTCACATCGCACACTATCCTATGAAAGCCTCAGGTGAAAAACAAACAAACCTCTTCTGCCTAAAAGAGGTCGAGGTACGAGCTACAATGATCGCGGTGAGCTACGTCGCTGCAAGGTAGAAGCCCGCGCGCGAGCAGCGGAGGCTCTGCGGGGGTTCAGAGACCGGCTGCGTGCTCCGAAAGACCCGCAGAGAGGAGTGGGCGGGGCTGCTTTTCGGAAAGGGCGGGACGGGATTCACACCCGAGGGAGGGGGCAGCGAGGTCACCAAGCGCAGCGAGTTGTAACGGGAGGAAGGGCCGTGTGGGGACCAGCCTCGAGCCGGGCAGGGGCCTGGGCGTGCCAGCAAAGCGGACCCCATCACTGCCCGGAGGTCGGGCTGAAGTGGAGCAGCGGGCGCCGGAGCGCGCGACCTCAAGGACAGCAAGGCCACGGACGAGGTGGGTGGGGCGGCGCACACGGGCCGACGTCGGGCGGCACGCGCCCCGCGGCCCAGCGGCCCCTGCTCCGCCGAAGCCAACAGCGTACCTGGATGCTGCAGCTCCCTGGCGTGTACCGGAGGCCTGCAGAGGCTGCTCCCGGCTGCTAGCGTTCCTACAACTTCCTAGTGCAGCTGAGGCCACCCACGACACCGAGACCGGAACAACCAGTCCGCCTCAGCTACGAGAGCAGAGAGCCGCCCACTTTTCCGCCCACCCACCTGGAGCGACCTCTAAGATTCGTGCTTGCAGAGAACGAGCGAGCGAACCTGCGCGTGCCTGCACCGAAACCCAGCCTAGCTCCGCCCACTAGAGGCGGGAAATCGCGTAGGCGACTACCCGGGTTGGTGGCTGGCTTTGAACTTCCGGCTTCCGGGTTTGTTATACATGCTATACTTTCTCGGAAGTACTTTCCTCTCCCGTTGGATTCTGGGGGTTGTAGTCCTGCTTCATCGAGTGAGCGTCTTTGGTAACCCCAATTTTGAGCACTGGAACTTCTTTAAAAAATTATTATCCTCGCCGGGCGCCGGTGGCTCACGCCTGTAATCCTAGCTACTCAGGAGCCTGAGATCTGAGGATCATGGTTCAAAGCCAGCCCGGGCAGGAAAGTCTGTGAGACTCGTCTCCAATAAGCCACCCGGAAACCGGAAGTGGAGCTGTGGCTCAAGTGATAGAGCACCCGCCTTGAGCTGAAGAGCTGAGGGACAGCGCCCAGGCCCAGAGTTCAAGCCCCATGACCGACAAAAAAAAAATTATCCTCAAGTGGTTGTATAAAGGAGATCTTAATTCAACAAATCATTTTATAAATGCAATCCATTTTGATCGCTGTCACCCCTTCCAGGTTCGGAACCGGAACTTTTAAGAGCTCGGCCAGAGTTAACCAATCCACAGCCTGTGTGGCGGTGACGTCTTTAGTAGCGAGGTAGATTCTCCTAGCCTTCCGGCAGTGGATCCCGAACCCCTTATAGCCCGAATCCACCCTGCGAGGCCATGTCCACGGAGTGCACCCGAGGGATTACTAAGGTTTCTGACTTATTCGTGACTTCCAGTTTGCAGGTGGCAGGATAAAGCCTCCAAGTGCTGAAGATTGGGTGACAGCCTGCGGGAAGGAAGGCGTAGGTGGCACTGGTGGGAGTTGTTAAGAAACAACCTTGAGGTTGTTAGCCTTGAGGCTATCAGAATAAAGAGCAGAAGATGACCTCAGCAGTCCAGATCAACTTTAATGGAAGCGGGACGCCGTGGTGACCTCAGGAGACAGGAGACTCGGGGCGAAGTGGGGACAGTGGTGAAGGGACTTAAGTAGGGTTCTCGGTGAAGGTGGCTGGAAGGTACAAAAGTGTCAGGTGGGGCTTTGCAAGTTTGTGGTTTTGGCCTGAAGTAATTTACGCATGCCTGGTTCCCGGAGCCTGTTGTGCAAGCCCAGTGAGGAGGTCCAGGTTCAGTCAGGGGTAGCCTGCTTTGGGAAATTGAGGTTGTGATCTGAGGGGAGGATGGGAGTGAATTTTCATGTTTTGGGGATTGCATATTCCCATCAGGGGTAGCAGGAGAGAGGACTGAGTGGGTCCCGCTGCTGGAAACCTTGGCTGTGATTATCCGGGAGGAACTGATCCGTTGATCTTAGGTTAAGAGTGAAAACATACACACTGTGGTGATACATGACAGTGCAGACATGCACTGAACTCCCCCCAAATCTTTCAATATCTGCAAAGAAGCACTTTATTGGGTGATAACTGGCCCTACACAAGGCCTCAGATTCATAGTTAGCTGTGGATGGAGCAGAAGTGGACAAAGGTATTAGAAGCTTGTCTCTGCATACACCATCCATCCCATCGTCCTGGAGAGCTGTCCAAACAGAAGCCACTGATGTGACAGTGCCCCTCCCTCTTTGCCTTATCAGGCAGTGAACTCTCAAGGGCTAGCAGCTACGAGAAGCCTGACACTCTGGCTTGTTAGAGGAGTTGAGGGAGGGTTAACATAATGCTGTCCAGAGCCATGGTGTGCCAGATGCTGCCACATAGGAAAAGGAGACTCCTGCTGGATGCAGGAGCCTCTCAGCCCTCAGGGACTATTTATAGCTAGGAGCCCAGGCTGCTGACCTGTGACATTCCCCTGCCACCACCCAATCCTGGAGCAGAGCCCATGCAAAGCACACTCCTCTCCCTCCTCTTCTTCCCTCATCCTAGAGACAGGGAAGCTTCTATTTTCTTCCTCTTTGAGTTTCCAGCTCCTGAAGGGCTGATATGGTCAGCCTCTCATGTGGAGGTGCCTGTTCCATGAAGGAGAGCTAGCCTTGGAATACCAGGACCTACCAACATGGGATCCTGCTCAGCCTTTGGGCCACTCTCTAGCCCCAGCCATGCTGATGTCAGATGCTGGTTTGCTCTTTTAGCTGTTCAGGAGCAGCTGAGAAAGATGTGCTAGGGCTGGGAGGAGGAGGGGATAGAGTTAGGGGATATCCTCGGGAGAGATTAAACAGCAGGAGGGGCCCAGCCGCACCTCCCCCAACTAGGGAGGCAGGGCAAATGCAAAGGTCAAAAGGGAACCCAGTGATCTGAGCCTGCTATGAAAAGGTAGAGCTCTGTCAGCAGTTCCTGTCCCCATAGAGGATGCTGGGGGAGGAAAAGCTTGGAAAGGTCACAAAGGGTGGGGAGGAGCTGGCAAAGGTCTAGAAGGCAGGAAGTCCCTAGGGAGAATGGTAAGCCCTAAGGCCAGAGATGCCAGTACGAAGCAACACTTGTTCCAGGGCAGCCTGGCAGGGAGGAGGAAAGAGGGTGACCAGAGGTTTCTGAGGACGTAATTGTTGCTAGGAGAAGCCAGAAGAGAGTTGTTTGAGATCTTTGTATTTTGTTAACAAACACTCAGATCATTGATGCTGTGTGGGGCCTGGCACAGGTCAACCAAGGGGTCTCTGAGGCCATTTTCTGCTGAAAATGACCAAAGCTTTTCCTGGCAGCTTGTGCTTTACCCTTCCTGTAGTTAAGGTACTTCTGTAGCCACTTAGTTGGGCTTGAGGACAGATACGTGGTTTCTGTAAGGCAGCCATGAGCCAACCTGGCTCTGGTACCCTCCCTTCCTCCGACCCACCCACCCCTAGATCAGCAGGCAGCAATGAGGCTTAATTCTAGGCTTCACAGAGGACAGTAAGAGAGGTTCACATCTGGTAAGAGACAGGGAAGCTCCATTTCTAAAGAAGCTACAGGCTTCCCCACAGTTAATTGCCCCAGGTGTGCAGCGGAGTCTCCCAGCCACGTGCCCGGCAGTATCCTTCAACAAAAAGACTGCTCATGAGGGAGTCCTGGAGATAGTCCTGGTGACCAGGTCACAAACTTCCTGCTCATCTCTGCTGGACAGAGGCGCTGCCTCCCTGGATCCTGGCTCCACTCACATGTGTTCTGGATGATTCTGCAGGCAGCGAATGAATTCACCCACTGGCTGGCCCTCATAGCACACCTTGTACACAGCCGTGAACAGAGGGAACCTAGAGTGGGAAGGGAAGGGAAGCTTAGCTTCCAACCAATACTTTTAGCCCCATTTACCACCTCGCTCTCCACTCCCCTTTCTTCCCACCTTGGAGCTCAGGCAGACTCTGGCTTTCAATTTCTACCTGCTGGGAATCTGAATTTGCCTAGCCTTGGATTTTAGGGTCAGGTTAAGTGCCCCTACTGCTCCCTTACATACTAAATTTGGGGGCATGATTGCCTAGCTCCAAGAGGTTTTTGTTTATATTTTTCCAATTGAACAATTTATTGATCTCTAAGCCTCAGTGTCATTGGCTGTTAAAATGGGTTCAATATAGCCAGGCCCAGCTCATACCTGTAATTCTAGCTACTCAGGAGGCTGAGATCTGAGAATCCTGGTTCAAAGCTAGCCTGAGCAGGAAAGTCCGTGAGACTTCTATCTCCAATTACACACACACTCAAGGCAGCCAGAAGTAGAGCTCTGACTTAAATGGTAGAGTGCCAGCCTTGAGCAAAAGATGCTCAGGCACAGTGCCCAGGGCCTGAATTCAAGCCACAGGACCAGCACCAAAACAAAACAAAACAAAAAAAGATCCAATATGACAAAGTAGTAAAGATATGATTGTATAAGATACAATGATTATGCATTATGTAAAGCTGTCAATGAATAAGAGTTTCTTTCTTGACATCTTTGCCTAGCTGCTCCTATACCCAGAGTCATGAGCTGTTCTTCTGAACCTGTTCCATATTTTCTACTAAGAGCACTGGTCTGTTACCCCATTGTCAGTGCTCCCTGGAAAGGAGTGCCTTGAAGTAGAGCCCATCTTCCTCAACATCCAGGTTAGGATTGGGGACAGAAGGAATCAGGCTTGGTCTTAGAAGGATGAACAAAAAGGCAGGATAAGCCCGGCGCTGGTGGCTCACGCCTATAATGCTAGCTAGTCTGGAGGCTGAGATCTGAGGATCGCAGTTCAAAACCAGCCCACGCAGGACTTGCAGGAAAAGTCCGGGAGACTCTTATCTCCAATAAACCACTCAGAAAATTGGAAGTGGCACAGTGGCTCAAGTGGTAGAGCGCTAGCCTTGAACTGAAGAGCTGAGGGACAGCCCAGGCCCAGAGTTCAAACACCATGACCAACAACAACAACAACAAAAAGACAGGATAATCAATGGGATAATCCTGGTCCAGAGCTCTAACTTCCAGAGCAGGGGACAAAGAGAAGGACAGGAAGGGGAAGTTACAAAGAAGGTGTAAAAGACACTAGACTAAAATGAGCTGCGGGACAATGCGCTGGCTGGGGACAGTGGGCACTCCAGACTCTCCATGCTGTAAGCAAAAGATCAAACACAGTTCCTTCTGCCTATCTTGCAACTTTACAGGACTCAGGAAAATGGTGAGTGGGATAGCGCTGGGCGGTTGCGCAGACTCACTTGTCTACCAGGCCCTTGTGCTGGAGGATACTGTGCAGCTCCCGGGCTGTCTGGGGCCCCTGCAGCTTCTGCCCATTCAGCATCTCTTTCTCCAGTTGCTCAATGGACTGTGAAGGAAACAGAACATGTGGGTCGAAATGAGTGGCAGGGGGCCCATCTGAACTGGGAAGTTGGAGCTCAGGAGACAGAAAGGGATGGAAATATTGGTAACAATGACCTCCAGTGCTAAGAATTGACTCCTACATGTTAGGCAAGTGCTCTACTACTGAACTACACGGTTAGTCCCTATTTATAACAAATTTTTTGTTTGCTTATGGTGTTGTTTGCTTGCTTTGTGCTGGTACCAGGGGTTGACTTGAACTCAGCCCCAGTAGGAGATAAGAGTCACACAATTTCCTGCCCAGGCTGGCTTCACTCTGCAATGCTTAGATCTCAACCTCCTGAGTAGCTAGGATTACAGGCATGAGCAGATTGTTTTGTTTTTGAGACAGAGTTTGGCTGTCTATTTTAGGTTAAACTCAACCTTGCAGTCCTCCTGCCTTAGCCTTCCAAGTGCTGGGATTGCAGGCTGGTTCACAACTATCTTAATGTGTGCTCTCTACAGCCATCTCCTGTTGTAGACATGGCCTTATACTATCCCATGGCTGTGGGCCTTAGCCATAGCTGTGGGTGACTCACTAAGCATGCTAAGTTCATGCTACCTTGCCTGTAAAAGCACCTCACAGTGGAGCTACTCAAGATCTTCAAGGACAAATGTGTTGCTGGTGGCTCCTACCTGTAATCCTAGCTAGGAATGAGATCTGAGGATTGAGGTTCAAAGCCAACCTGGGGAGAAAAGTTCATGAGACTCTTATCTCCAATAAATCACCCAAAAGCCAAAAGTAGAGCTGGGGCTCACATGGTAGAGTAACAGCCTTGAGCAAAAAAGCTACAGGATAGCATTCGGGCCCTGAGTTCAAGCCCTGGTACTGACCTAAAAAGAAACAAAAAGGGTAAGGATACACAACCCTGCCAAGAGGAAACAAAAAGGGTTAAGCAACATTCAGTGCTGGCATGAACAAAGAAGCTGCCACAGAGAAGGACGGAGCCCCTCCCCTGGGCAAAATAAATATTTACTTTCCAAGAACAGAAAAAAAAAACAAACTCTTACTAAGCACTTGTACCTGGATATCCGCAGGGCCTACTTTTGGTTCTCCCTACAGGACTCACCTTTCCAGTCCGAACAAAGGCCTCTGCCACCTTGCGGTTCCGCCCTCCATAGCAGGTAGTAATGAGGTCTGCAACACCACAGCTCTCCAGAAAGGTGGCAGAGGACACAGGACCACTGCAGAAGAGCTTAGAGAAGGCGATCATCTCCATGAGGCCCAACCTGATCACCGCTGCCTTGGTGTTGTCACCAAAACCCAGCCCATCGCAGAAACCAGCTCCTACAGCCACTATATTCTGTGTAAGAGTAGAGACATGGGTGAGGGCGTTCCTCCTCCAGGGACCCCACTAAGAGGCCTCAGCACCTGCCTCATGCTCCTCACAGCAACCATGACACACCCATTAAGTGATATGGCATACGGACTCCTAAATTATATCCACCACCTAGTTTTCCTATTTTGTGCATACTCTTTTTTTGTGTGTGTGTGAAAATACTGTACAGAGGGGTTACAATTACAGGGGCAAGATAATGAGTACATTTCTTATCAAGCATTGTAGCCTCCTCCTTTGTTTCCCACCCCAACCTCCCCCCCACCCCCCCCCAACCCTCCTCCCCCACACCAAAGTTGTATAGTTCCTTTTTGACATAAATACTTGTAGGTCTCATTGTTGCAATGGGTCCACCTGTATCTCTATTTAAACGATTTGTTTTTTCCCTTCCCCTCCACAAATTATAGAGTGAAAGCAGGGGTTATACCACAGGGGAGGGACATACAAAGCAACAGAGAAATCATCTTATAAATGTGTTAGAAACAATCGCATGAAAGAAAAAAACATTTGAATACATATCTTAGGGTTCATTTCCCTAACATCAACTTATCTGACCTTTTCTGTTTCACTCAGACATATACTAGTTATTGCAAATAAGGAAAATCATGGGACCTATGTTTCTTTGGGCCTGGCTTTTACTTCACAATAATTTTTTCCAAGTCTTTCCATTTCCTAACAAATGGGGCAATGTCATTCTTTCTGATGGAGGCATAGAATTCCATTGCGTATATACACCATATTTTCTTGATCCATTCATCTACAGAGGGGCATCTGGGTTGATTCCATATCTTAGCTAATGCATACTCTTCTTTAAGCTTCACCCTATATTCAATCATTGAGGACATTTTTTTCTTCTCTATGCCAGTCCTGGGGCTTGAACTCAAGGCCTGTGCACTGTCTTTTTTTTTTTTTTTGGTTGGTTGTGGGGCTTGAACTCTGGGCTTGGGCGCTGTCCATGCACTCTTCAGCTCAAGGCGAGCACTCTACTGCTTGAGCCACAGCGCCACTTCCAGTTTTCTAGTGGTTTATTGGAGATTATAGAGTCTCATGGACTTTCCTGCCCATGCTGGCTTTGAACCACGATCTTCAGATCTCAGCTTCCTGAGTAGCTAGGATTACAGTCATGAGCCACCCCACTGGCGCCCGGCTTCCTGAGCTTTTTTTTTGGGGGGGGGGGTCCAGTCATGGTGCCTGAACTCTGGGCCTGGGCGCTGTCCCTCAGCTCTTCAGCTCAAGGCTAGCACTCTACCACTTGAGCCACAGCACCACTTCCAGCTTTTTTCTTTATGCTTATGTGGTGTTGAGGAATGGAACCCAGGGCCTCAGGCATGCAAGGCAAGCGCTCTACCACTGAGCCACCTTCACAGCCCTCCCTGAGCTTTTTTGCTCAAGGCTAATATTCTACCATTTGAGACACAGCCCCACCCACTTTCGGCTTTTGGTGGTTAACCGGAGTCTCACAGGCTTTCCTGCCCAGGCTGGCTTGGAACCACAGTCCTCAGATCTCAGCCTCTTGAGTAGCTAGGATTACAGATGTGAGCTACCAGTACCCAGCTTCTTGGGGACATTTTCTGAGAGCCACTCTTCTGAACAGATGGTCTCCCCATCCATGATAAGCCCATGTCTTCATGTCTACAGCTTTCCAGCCATTGATCTTTCTGGAAGTTGTCATGATGTCTCATCTCTCGTTAGCCTGAGCATCTCTCTTGACCAGTACTCAGCTCAGAGCCAGAGCTAGGATGTCCTACAAGGGGCCCTAGCAGTAGAGGAAGCAGGGTCTACCACCTGATAGTAAGCAGTCAGCAGGCTTAAGTGGCCTGGCCTGGCCTCTGCAGTTCTTTCTCTGGGTGGGAGACTTGGTAAGGAAAGGGAACCATTGCTGAAGAGTGAGCCAGGCCCTCCTTTGAGACCTTCTGTACACCCTTATTTGTCTCTGTGCCGCCCTCTCACCTTTAAGGCCCCACAGATCTCCACTGTGTCCACCTCTTGCACCACTGTGATACGAAAATTGGGTGTCTGCATCAGCTCTTTCAAAAGCTGTCCTTGGGCTGGGTCCTTGCAGCCTAAAGTGGGGAAGAGGAGAAGCTTTGAGGGTGGACTCCCTCTCACTTTTCTTTTTCTTTTGAGACAGGGCCTTACTATGTTGCTCAGGTTTGTCCAGAATTTGTGAGCTTGAGCTATCCTCATCTCTCAGCCTGTAGGGTAGCTGGGACTACAGGAGCCATGCCCTACACCCTGTGAGGGAGGATTTGACAGTTCTCACATTCAACCTAAATAGAGTGTTCAGCCTCTTCCCTGGGGGTGTCCCAACCCTCCCTTGCTTCTGACACTTCCTTTCCCTGCCTTGTGGAAGGAGATGGCTGAATGGAACAGGGGGAGAGCTTGGGGGAGGGGAGGCAACAGCTGCATGGTGCATGGGGAGGGGGCTCTCACCAATGGTGGTCTCACAGAACTTCTCATCAGCCACCTCGCTGGCAATGTTGGCCCCCATCAGCACACTCATGGGGATACCAAGGCGCTCCCCAATCACTTCAGAGATGAGCTTCAGCCCATTGGGGCCCTCGTCTACCCCCTGGGTACAGGATGGAGCTCAGGCCAGCTGCTCTTTATGCCCAGCTGAGGGCTTCCCACCCAGAAATCCTACCCCTTTCTTATCCACTGCTCAGTATTGTCCCTCCCCAGAGATCCTGCCCTATTCCAACCCATCCTTAGCTTGCTGTGAGGACGGCAGACAATACTGACAAACCAGTTCATCATCAGTAATTTCTCCTTCCATGCACTCGCAACCAACCTACCTCTCCAAAGCAGCATATTCCCTCATGACCTTCGACGGCCCTCTGACATCCTAATCAACTCCCCTTGCAAACTTCCAAGCCAAACCAATTCTCATGCCTTCTAAAATCTCCTAAGACATCTGCCTCTAAAGCAGGCTCATACATCCTCCCCTCAGCTCCCCCTACCCTGTGCCCCTGGCATCACATGACTGATTGCTTTTCTTTGTGGTGCTAGGGATCAAACCCAGGGTCTGATGCATGCTAGGCTAGCACTTTACCACTGAGCCATATCCCCAGCCTCTGATAGCTTTCTCCATCCTTTCCAAAGTCAATCCCTCTCTTTTCTCTAGAATGTTCTGCCTATCACTCCCATTTTCTGCCCTGCTTGCCAAACCATCCTGACTACCCCTCCCCCCCTCCCCAGTGGTTAGCTGTATCCCACCCCCATGCACATGAAGCTGTTCCTGGCACCTTAATTAGAGAGATGCCAATGGTGTTGGCCTTTAGGTGGCCCTTGAGCTGGTCACAGATCTTGCCGATGAACTGATGGGGCACCACAAAGATCAGGATGTCAGCATCAGCTGCAGCCTGGACCACATCTGGTACAGCCACCTGTAGGGTGATAGATGTTCATTGGCCTGGCTGACCTCTCATAGTTCCTAAGGAACCCCATTTGGGAGATTGAGGAGCCAAAGAATGAGGCTTGGTGATTTGCCAGTCAGCCTGGGAGATAGAACTTGGAGGAACAAGACATCTTAGCTGGGCGCTGGTGGCTTATGCCTGTAATCCTAGCTACTCAGGAGGCTGAGATCTGAGGATTACAGTTCAAAGCCAGCCCGGGCAGGAAAGTCTGTGAGACTCTTGTCTCCACTTAACCAGAAAACCAGAAGTGGCGCTGTGGCTCAAGTGGTAGAGCGTTAGCCTTGAGCTGAAGAGCTGAGGGACAGTGCCCAGGCCCAAGAGTTCAATCCCAAGGACCAGGAAAAAAAAAAAAGACGTCTTACTCCCTGCTCCCAGTCATCATGCCCCACCCCCTCCCCCCGCACCGACCCCTGCCCCAGCTGTCCTGGATCTTTGACTCCTGGAATCTTCCTCTCTGTACTCTGTTGGCTGTGGGACAGCTTGGGAAGCCAAAGGTGGCCTGGGCTTGACAGGAGAAAGAGGCCAAAGAAGATTTCATCACCCTGGGTCAGACTTAAGGGTGCTACCTGGGAAGGGAGAGCCCCAGTTTTTCTCTTATCTATCCTGCTCTCTATTTCCAGGTGGAGAGAGAGCCACATGGATTTGACCAAAGACCAAAAGTCCAAGGAACAGCCTCCAAATCTGCTAATAACCCAGTGAATGAATAACAAGATTAGAGCCTGGAGCGGGTACTACCAGACCCCAAGTCTGGGAGCTTGCAGACCAGACTTGGGTTGTCATGGAGACAAACATAGGCCTCCCTCCTCCCTTCTCCACCTGGGAACCAGCAGGGGAGGTACATTTAGGTCTTCCTTAGTCCCAGAAAGGGAGGTTGTGGGGGGGGGGGGTGCTCTGTGCCAAGAGCAGTCCTCTCAAGATAATTCCCCACTGGCACCTGGAGTGGTCCTTTGACTGCAGGCGACATCTCTAAGTGAGATCTGAGCCCTGAGTCTCCTGTCCTCCCCTCCCTTGCTTTCCTCTGACCTTTTTTTTTTGGTCAGTCATGGGGCTTGAACTCTGGGCCTGGACACTGTCCCTCAGCTCTTCAGCTCAAGGCTAGTGCTCTCCCTCTGAAGCCACAGTGCCACTTCCAGTTTTCTAGTGGTTAATTGGAGATAAGTCTCTTGGACTTTTCTGTCCGGGCTGGCTTTGAACTGCGATCCTCAGATCTCAGCCTCCTGAATAGCTACGATTACAGGTGTGAGCCTGTATTATTATTAATTTACTTTATTGTTATTATAGAGGTGATATCCAGAGGAATTACATGAGTCAGGTAATGAGTACATTTCCTTTTGTACAGTGTCTTCTGTTCCCTCATTCTCACCCAGTCCCTCTCTCCTGTCTCTAGCCACCTACAAGCTGTCTAGCTGACTTTCAACAGTGTCCAGCCTCTCACCCTTTCTTGCAGGGAGTTGGGGCTTACCACATTGGGGGGCAGCTTGTGTCCTGGTAGGTATTTAACGTTCTCATGCTGTGTATTGATGATCTCGGTCAGTTTTCTGCCCCCTATGTCTTCCTCAAACACCCACATGGTCACCCGTGGGTCGAAGCGTGCCTGCTGGGCTGCATTGCCACCCACGATCTTGGCAATAGCTGAACCCCTGTAAAGGGGAGCACAAGAAAGTGGAGGGGTGGGGTGTGAGGGAGAGCATGGTGGCACGCAGGGGTTGAGCAGTGCTCTGTTGTAAGACACAGCCCAGCAGATTATTTTACTCCCCATCTTGCTTGTCACCCCTACTCCTATAACAAGCACGTCCCGCCTCCCCCTCCCACCCCCAGGGATCTGGCAGTAGAAACTCAGTCTACCTCACATTTTGCTGCTGGAGAAGAGGGCCAGCTTTCAGATGGCACTCCCAAACGCAAGTGCTCTGTTTGCTTTCCTGTGGCAAACAGGTGCAGCTGCCCAGGCAAGCAGCCACCAGCCAGGAAGATCTGGGCACCAACTGTCCTGTGCCCGCGGCATAGGTACTAAAGACAGCAGTAAGGGCCCAGCAGGAACCTAAGGACATTTCACACCCACTCGGCCTCCTGTTTACTCCGTTTCTGTCCCTCCAGAGCCCCCCCCCCCCCCGCACTTGGGGGAAGCTGCCCTTACCCCCCATGGACCTTGCCAGAGCTCCTTACCAGTTACCGGAGCCGACAATGCAGACTTTCTTGCCGGCCATAGTGCTGCTTCTCTCTGCTCAAGCGCTGGTGCCGGCTCTGAGCATTTAACTCCGACACACGTGGGTACTGCCAAGCCCCGCCTCCAGGGGTGGCCTGGAGGCTGGTGCCCAGTGAGTCCAGCAGAGCCAGAGAAAGGGGAGAAAAGTGGAGTAGGTGGGGGACAGGAATGGGTCAAAGGCCGGGTCAGCTTTTCTCCCTTGGGTTTGTAGCTGACCGTGCTGGCTAGCTTGTTTGCTTGGCCTTAGCCCAGTTTTCCACCTTGCAATGGTTTCATTTTGGGGTCTGCCAAGAAATAGACCAGGTAAGGAACAAGTGACAGGTCCTTTCCCCACTTATATGTATGCAGAACTGGAATAAATTGTCTTTACCCTAGAAGCAAGTCATGTTTTTTTTGTTTTTGGTCTGGTCATTGGCCTGAACTCTGGGCCCGGGCACTGTCCCTCAGCTCTTCAGCTCAAGGCTAGCGCTCTACCACTTGAGCCACAGCGCCACTTCCGGCTTTTTTTTTCTGCTTATGTGGTGCTGAGGAATCGAACCCAGGGCCTCATGCATGCAAGGCAAGCGCTCTACCGAGTCACCTTCCCAGTTCTCATGTTTTCTTTTTTTTTTTGGGTCCGGTCGTGGGGCCTGAACTCTGGGCCTGGGCGCTGCCCCTCAGCTCTTCAGCTCAAGGCGAGCACTCTACCACTTGAGCCACAGCGCCACTTCCAGTTTTTTTCTTTTTGCTTACGTGGTGCTGAGGAATCGAACCCAGGGCCTCAGGCATGCAAGGCAAGCGCTCTACCACTGAGCCACCTTCCCAGCCCCTCATGTTTTCTTTTCAATGGTAGAAATTCTCCATCCCTCACCCTTGGCACACACCCTTCCAAGACCCCCAATATTGCCATAGTTTGGTCTTCCAGCAGCTCCATGCAAGCTCTGCCACAGGCTATAGATGAGGGAAGTCTGTGGATATGGCTGCTTAAGGATAAGACCACACATGAAGTAAAAGGCTGCTTGAGCGGTCAGCCCAGGTCAGGATTGAGACCCTTGGAAGCACAAGGTTATCTTGGTCACCCATAATGGCCAGCTCAAGGACTCATCAATGGCCCTCTTCACTTCGGACAGTCCTCACCTGGATGTCTTGTAGAGAGGGAAGATGGAAAGGTCATATGTAGACAACTTTTGACACCACATGACCCACAGTTCTGCTAGGCCTGGTAGACAGAAGAGGTAAAGTAGCCAGTGCATAAACACTGCTCTTGAGAGGCACAGAGCTTCAATTTCTCACTTACAGAGGGAGAGATGTAGGACCTGAAATAGTAATTTCCAAAAGTCCGGAGTTGTGTCTCAGATACCATAATTGAGAGGAAGCAGGTGTATGACTTTGTAGGAAGGAGAGATTTCAGGCTGTCCATACCCCACAGCCAACTGTTTGACTGAGAGAAGAGGAGCTCTGGTTTCCAGGCTGCTCTGCAGTGAAGCAGAGACATATCACTCTCCAGCTAGCCTGCACCCTGGCCTAGAAGGCAGACAACACTGTGTATTCACGTGCTGACCTCCTGGCTTGACGCACTGCTGAGAGTGTTGCCATATCCTCTAGGGCTGCAAGTAGCCTGAAACTGTAATCAGTACTGGGCTAGAGGTGAGGCTGCATGCAACCAGAGGGTAAGAATAAGTGGGCAGGAGGTTACGACTGGAGGGATGGTTTGTCTAAGTTCCAGGGAAAGAACAGGAGAAGCCCACCATACTTTTCCATGGTGAGGGAAACAAAACTAGGAAATCAGCAGTTGGTTTTATTGCTTAAAAACTAAGCCTACTCCACAGCTAGCTGCCCCCCGACTGCTCACTCTCTTATTACACTGGCACCAAGATGAAGACACCAGTGCTAGGCTGCCAGCTGGGAACTGATTATGGGGGGATGGAAAAGAAAGGATGTTCCTGTCCCTGGCACGTATGACAGGAATCCCAAAGAATGGACATTTCTTCATGAAGTGATCCCTTGTTTTTGACTAACTGCTCCTTTTTTTTTTTTTGGTCAGTTGTGGGACTTGAACTCTGGGCCTGGGCGCTTGTCCCTGAGCTCTTCAGCTCAAGGACAGCACTCTACCACTTGAGCCACAGTACCACTTCTGGTTTTCTGAGTGGTTTATTGGAGATAAGAGTCTCACGTCTTTCCTGCCCGGCTGGCTTTGAACCTTGATCCTCAGATCTCAGCCTCCTGAGTAGCTAGGATTACAGGCGTGAGCCACCTACGCCTGGCCTTCTTTTTGTTCCTCCAATCCTGTTAGGTAGTATGGAGCTGAAGACTACACATTATATAAAAAGCAGGGTGTTTCTCTTCTTGGTACCACTTGAGCCCTTTACCCAAAAGCAAGCTGCAGACTGCCTGAAAAAATTATTCATCAGTATAATACATGTAACTAACCCAGGTGAAAAACAGATGACAGTTTGGTGTCCTTGAAATGAATATTTTCCCTAACGTATCACGTATACAGTGCTTTCCCTAACTCAAGCTTGAGAAACACCCAAATTCTGGGCAGGCAGGAGTGGCAGGCAATGCTGGAGAGCTCCATCCATGCAGGAAAAGGGTTAACTTTTAACAAGGACTTTGGAATGTGGTTGTACCTCATTCTGCTCTATACCCTCACTGGAGGACACAAAGTAGTGAGCCACCAGGTGGCAACAGGCAGAAATGCAGCAGAATTTCATGCTTTTGGTAATAACCACTCTTCCAGACTTCCAATCTGCCAAAGGGAGTCTTTTTGTTGTTATCAAGGTTTGAACTCAGGGCCTTGCACTTGCTCTGCTGGGGCTTTATTATTTGATCCATGTCTCCCAGTTTTATCCTGGTTATTCTGGAGATGGAGTCTCAAGGACTTTTCTGCCTTAGTTGGCACTGAATTTCAATCCTCTAGATCTCAGCCTGAGTAGCTAGGTTATAGGTGTGAGCACTCGGTACCCAGAAGGGTCTCTATGAGTGTATGAGAATAACACAGTCCTCCCACATCAGCCTTAAGAGCTAACCAAGAGTGGTCAAGCACTCAAGAGGCAGAGGTGATGAGCTGGGAAGGTGGCTCAGTGGTAGAGCGTTTGCCTTGCATGCATGAGGCCCTGGGTTCCATTCCTCAGCACCACATAAGCAAAAAGAAAAAAGCCAGAAGTGGCGCTGTGGCTCAAGTGGTAGAGCGCTAGCCTTGATGTGAAGAGCTGAGGGACAGCGCCCAGGCCCAGAGTTCAGGCCCCACAACCGGACCCGCCTGTCCCCCCCCCCCCCAAAAAAAAGAGGCAGAGGTGAGAGGATCTCCAGTTCAAGGCTAACCTAAATTAATAACAAGTGAACTACTTAGCAAGCTTTAAAAAACAACAAAAAAGCCGAGTGCCAGTGGCTCAAGCCTGTAATCCTAGCTACTCAGGAGGCTGAGATCTGAGAATTGTGGTTCAAAGCCAGCCTGGGCAGGAAAGCCGTGAAACTCATCTCCAATAAACCACCAGAAAACCGGAAGTGGCGCTGTGGCTCAACTGGTAGAGTGCTAGGCTTGAGCTGAAGAGTTGAAGAATAGTGCTCAGGCTGAGTTCAAACACCACGACCACAAAAAACAAACAGCAAAAAAAAAAAACCCAAAACAACAACAAAACCCCACTGAAATGTGACATCTTACTCAGAATTTGAGTGGAATCTCAGAGCATAAAATCCCTTGAAACACCAATGCCAGCTATTACTGTGGCTTTGGTCCCAGTTGGACAGGCACCTCACAGAGAAGTGGAGCCCTAGAGAACAATCTGGTTCATCAAGCCCAAGGGACCACAGAGGCACAAGGACAGCTCACTCTAGCCAGCATGAAGACAGCAGTGCCATTGGCTTGTCCACACCCCATGGATGGGAGCTGAGAGCCTAAGACCCAGGGGAGAGGCCCAACAATCCCAAGCAGCACCGACTGTTTGGGCCCTGAGCTTATCAACCACTGAAGTAAGACCAGAGTCCTGAGGGGAGAAAGCTCACTTCCTGGGAGTCCCCAGTACCGGGTCTCATGGTTGGCATATAGCAAGTGCTCAGCGAATCCTGGTCAAATGAACTGTCACTGTGAGCAGAGCTGGCAGTGCTGAAGGAGCTCGGGAGGAGGCCTCCCACAGGAGGCAGGGGACTCACCCTTCAGAAGATCCTTTTATTAAAACTGGGTGACATCGATAAGGGGATAGTACAAAAAAAATTTTGGTCCATGAGAAAAAAACATAATAATTCAGTTAATAAAAACAGTTATCATCAACAGGGACACTGTAGGAGTGCTGAGCTTCCTCCTCATGGTTCCAGCTAGGAGCCAGGCCGGGCTCGGCTGTCCCGGGGCTGTCCAGTGTCACTGTGGGGGAGAACCTTTTGAGGGAGGAGTGGGTATATGGCAGGAGGGGGAAGTGTGCAGTGTAGACCACGCAGGGATGAAGGGGTGGGGGATGTGCTCGCAGGAGCCTGAGGAGGGGTGGGGAAGCAGGGGCTTTGTCAGTTCTGGTTCAGAGCCCATGCTGAACGGAATCCCCCTCTGCCCAGCTGTCTCCCACCCTGCTATGTTGTCTGCGAGCCTGGGATATGCTAACTGGGGGTGGGGGGGGACGCAGTGATACAACCTGGAAGATTCTGAGGCGCTCCTGGAAAGATGCAAAGCCATCTTTGTTCCAAGAGGCCAGGATCACAAGGTCTTGCTACCTGAGGGGTCTGAAGCTTTGAGGGCAGGGACGGGGAGTCACAAACCTGTGAGGCAGGGAAGGGGAGAGTCACAAACCCATCTCAGCTATTCTCTAGCCCTAGGCGCTTTCACTCCTCAATGCCCTAGAAGTCACCAGAGGGTATCAACAGGGCAGACAGGGGACAGGAAGACAGGGATGGCCCAGGGCTTTACCCGTTTGATTCTAGGCCTGTGTCTCCATTAGGGAGTGGGCAGGGTGGAGTGAATGGAGTCACTCCTCACAGCAACAGCAGGAAGAACAGCCTCTGCTGGCAATGACAGTTGCCCAGGGAAGTCCTGGGCTTGGACAGGGAAAGGCAAGATCCCCACCCAAACGCTGTGGGTTAGGGGAGATGTGAGGACATTCTACAAAGGGTAGCTACAGAGGTGTGGAGGAGGGAGCAACAGTTCAGAACAAACTCCAATACTGACATGGACTCCTGCTAAAAGGAGCCGAAAGCACTGACAGCAGGCCAGCCCAGAGGGTGGGGACTGACCTGGGGCTCAGAGGAGCCCAAGAGTCAGGGTTCCCTTAGTGCTAGAGAACAATACATAAAGGGAGAGTTTGCTCCAAACCTGTGCAGGGAAGGAAGGAAACTCAATTGTTATCAGGAGGGCCAAGATCAACTAGCTTATAGAGCACCCCCAGGCCTGAGTCTCAGAGGAAGAGCTATAGCTCCCAACTCCTGGGTCTCTGAAGGGCAGGATCCATGCAGCTGGTCTTCTTGAAGACCATCTGGCCTTAGCCCCATTCCAGAGCACTGATTACCACTATGGGGTCTCTATCACTATCTAGAGGTCCTATGTAGACCAGGGAGGGTAGAGGCACATGGAAACTTCGTGGGGCAAATGGGAGCTGGGGGGATGGGAAGGGATGGGGTGGGAGAAGAGGATAATAGGTGTCTTGTGAGACAGAAGTGTGAGACCCTCTTCATTCTGGTGTTTCCTTGAACCAACAGCATCCCCGGGAAGGCCCCGAGCAAAACCAAGGCAGGTGCTATGAGGCACGCAGCACAGGGCCTAAATAACTGGTGCAGCCAAATCAGGGCTGAAGAAGCCCTAGGTATTCCGGATTCCCAAGGCTTGCTCTAATTCTTGTCGTCTCTGCTGCACCTGAGGAGAAAATAGATGAGAAGAACAGAAGTTGGCATCTCATACCACTGGACCACCATCAGGCATGCTGACCCCTTGCCTTCTGTCAATATCCCCAGGGCGTCCCAGCACTGTACCTACCTTGGAGTAGAAGTATCGGCACACAGCCTCCTGCGCCCAAGGTTGGAAGTAGAACTCAGCACGGCGCTCCTCCTCTGGGTTACCCACCACATCAGTCATGGTCTAAGGGGAGTGGGGGGGGGGGGGGGCAGGGCAGAGAACACACTTGTTTCTTGCCTTCCGACCTGCTAGTGGCTGAATTGTATATCCCCCCACTAAGATGCTGAAATCCTAATCCCCCAGTACCTGTAACGTGACCTTATTTGGAAATAAGAGTCTCTGCAGATGATCAACTTAAGATGAGGTCATTGGGGTAGGCCCTAATCCAATATGACAGGTATCCTTATAGAGAGGGGAAATTTGGACACAGAGACAGACACATACAGAAGCAACACGATGTGAAGACACATGGAGAATGCCGGTATAAGCCAAGGAATGTCTGAGGCTACCAGCAGAGTAGCATGGAACTGATTCTCCCTCAAAGCTCTCAAAAGGAACCAATCCTCCTGGCACCTTGACTTTGGACTTCTAGACTCTACAACTATGAAACAGTTATTTCTGTTGTTTAAGCCACCCAGTGTTAGTCTGCTGTAACAAACTAATACCACACTCAAAGCCACCCCTAGCTAGCTGGCCCTAAGTCATTACCTATTCAAGGTCCTCTCTGGCACCCTTTTTCCTAGGAACTGAGGCCACATTTCAGGTCTCTGTGCTTTTGCCTGAACTTATAGGATTCTTCTTTCTGGGAAATATCTTCAAATCCCAAACTTTCCATAAAGCCTTCCCCAGTGATTTTACCCTCACTGATCTCCCTTCTCCTCCTCTGAATTATCTTGTTTGTTCCAGTCAGTTCTGATAAGGTCTTACATACTTTACTACTTGTTTCCAAACAGAATGCATTTTGCTTTGAGAGCAGAGATCAGGTCTTCCTCTTTGTATTCTAAGACAACATGGAGCACAGTGATAGCCCTGGACAAATACTAACTCCATGCTTGATGGTTCTGCCTCTATCTCCATACTTAACTGTAATGGACCCTGACATGTGCTGCTAAAAATAAAAAATTAAAAAAAAAATCGAGTCCCTCGCCCCCCACTTCCCCTAGCTCTTTCACCAGGTAGTTCTTTACCTTGAGGTCTCGGCACTGGGACTGAAGCCAGTCATTGATGAAACCTTGAGGATCTCTGGCAAAACTCAGCATGAACTCCCGTTGGGTCTTCAGCTGGTTGATAGTTTCTATAGTCTCATGAATCTAAAAGGAACAAGGAATTGCATACTATTAAGAAGCTAAACAGGAAGTTAAAAATGGCAGACAAGCCTGGTGCTGGTGGCTTATGCCTATAATCCTATCTACTCAGGAGGCTTAGATCTGAGGATCACAATTTGAAGCCAGTCCAAGCATAAAGTCCATGAGACTGTTATCTTCAATTAACCTCCAAGAAATATGGAAGCGGGGCTGTTACTCAAGTGGCAGAGCATTAGCTTTGAGCATAAAAGCTCAGGGATAGCACTCAGATCCTGAGTTCAAGCCCCAGGACTGGCACCAAAAATAAAAAAGGTTGGCAGTACTGGTGACACACTCTATGTACTTTTTTTTTTTTGATCGCTGTCCTTCAGCTCTTCAGCTCAAGGCTAGAGCTCTACCACTTGAGCTACAGCGCCATTTCCGGTTTTCTGGGTGGTTCATTGGAGAGAAAGAGTTTCATGGCCTTTCCTGCCCGGGCTGGCTTTGAACCACGATCCTCAGATCTCAGCCTCCTGAGTAGCTAGGATTACAGGCGAGAGCCACTGGCGCCGGCGATTCTATGTACTTCTTATAACCTTGGCCTGGGATGCTGCTGCCTAGAGCTGGTCAGCTGTACAGGGCTCCTACTGCTCTGCCCTCAGCATTCTTTCAGCAGCCAAAGGGTATTCACTTCCGTCTCTCTGTCCACTCCACAAAAATAGTTGTCCTTTACTCTCTTCAATATCCACAAGTGAGTATTTATTTATTATTTATGTCAGTTCTGGGGCTTGAACTCAGGGTCTAGGCACTGTCCCTGAGCTTCTTTTGCTCAAGGCTAGTACTCTACCACTTCAGCCACAGGACGACTTCTGGCCTTTTCTGTTTGTGTGGTATTAAGGAATTAATGCAGGGCTTCGTGCATATCAGACAAGTACTCTGCCACAAAACCACATTCCAAGCCCCACAAGTGAATATTTAATCCACAACTACTGATAGGGTTGCAAGTTCCCAATCTGTTGTCCATTTTCTAAATTCCAACCATTCCAAATGGTATCTTAACATCTCAACATCTCAAAACACCTTAAACTCTACATCTCTGAAACTAAATTCAGTCCCTTTTCCCTAATGCTTTTTTTTTTTTTTGGCTGGTCATATGGCTGGAACTCGGGGTCTGGATGCTTTCTGTGGGCTCCTTTTGCTCAAGACTCTACCACTTGAGCCACAGCGCCACTTTTGGCTTTTTCTGTGATTCTGTAATTAATTGGAGGTAAGACTCTCATGGACTTTCCTGGCTAGCTGGCTTCAAACCACATCCTCAGATCTCAGCCTCCTGAGTAGCTAGGATTACAGGCTTAAGCCACTGACATCCAGCCCTAATGCTGTTTCTTCTTTCTTTTCCTCCAATCTTAGGTGGCTAATAGCCACTCACCATCATGCCTCTTTTTCCCTCAACCCCATTCAAATGGTAAAGAAATTCTTTTCTACGTTCATGCCTCTCAAACCTGTTCATTTTTACCCTCTCTGTCTGTCTTAAGTTTAGGTCCTCAACATATCTCACATGCATTACTATGCAAAACCTCCTAATTGGGCTTCCTGCCTCTAAAGTAGTCCCACTTACAACTCACTGTTCACCTTCCCACTAACCATTATTCTCAATACAAGCAGCCTCAGTGCCTCCACTAGTGAAGATCTCTATCAGATGCCCTAATTTAATCCGCAGGATGAATGGGAACCAGGATGAATGGCATCAAAACTGGATGATTAGGAACTGGCTGAAAGTGGTAGTAAAAGAGCTCAAGGACAGTACCCAGGCCCTGAATTCAAGCCCCATAACTCACCAAAATAAATAAATGTGCAAAAACAAAACAAAACCTGTATAATTTGGTTCCTTAGAGAGCTCCCTTCCCCAAAACATTGCATCCCTGGCAACCTTGAGCTGTAGCTAGCACATCAATGGCTTGTACTTCTCAAACACACCAGGCTGTCTCAGGACTTTAACATACTCTGTTCCATCTTTCTGTAATGTCCTTTGTCTCCATATTCATAATAATGGTTACTTTCTCCCCTTTATTAGCTCTCATTTTGTTGGTCCTGATTTTGTTATCTATTCTCCCTGTCCTTCTTTGTGTTTGCAGAACACTTCTGGCTTTGTCTAAAGGAACTGTGCCTGACAATGTTAAGGGTAATGATGATGTAGTGATAACAGTGGCAGGAGTAATTAAGTAGTGGCTGTTAGGTGTCAGACACAGTCTGGTGTCCTTAATGTTTTGTATCATTCTCAGACCAGCCTTATAAATGTAGATATTGCGGGCGCTGGTGGCTCACGCCTGTAATCCTAGCTACTCAGGAGGCTGAGATCTGAGGATCACGGTTCAAAGCCAGCCTGGGCAGGAGAGACCGTGAGACTCCTATCTCCAATAAACCACCAGAAAACCGGAAGTGGCACTGTAGCTCAAGTGGTAGAGTGCTTGCCTTGAGCTGAAGAGCTGAGGGACAGCGCCCAGGCCCAGAGTTCAAGCCCCAGGACCGACCAAAAAAAAAAAAAATAAATAAAAAATTAAAAAAAAATAAATGTAGATATTATGTTTCTATTTTACAGATGAGAAGCTGAGATTCAATACTATTAAAATATATAGTCAAAATAAGAACTCACACGACTCTAGTTCCCATCAACCTCAAGTATACTTCCTGACATATAAAGTGACAATATACTTTGAAGTAAACCCAGAAATTAAAAGGTAAGCCCAGCTGTGATGGAGAGGTGGGGATTGATACTCAAACCCAGAGAACCCTACCTTGTTGTCTAGAGTAGCGATCTCCTGTTGGCTGGCAGTAGACAGCAGAAAAGAATTCATCTGGGTCTTCAAGGTATCATCTACTTCCACATCAATATCATAACAAGCTGTCTTTTTCTGGTCATTTGGGTCAACACTGGGGGAGAGAGCAAAGGAATCAGATGATAAGCTTGGCCTAAATCTAATCACCAAGTCAAAAGATGGCCCATCCAGGTGCTAGAGGCTCACATTTGTAATCCTAGCTGCGGATGGCTGAGATTTGAGGATCTCATTTCAAAACCAGCCCAGGCAGGAAAGTCTGTGATTTTCTTATCTTCAATTAACAACCAAAAAAAAAAAAAAAAAATCCAGAAGTGAAGCTATGGCTCAAAGTGCTAGTCTTTTTTTGGGGGGGAGGAGGGCAGGGGGGGGGGGCGGTGTCCGGTCATGGGCCTGAACTCTGGGCCTGGGCGCTGTCCCTCAGCTCTTCAACTCAAGGCTAGAGCTCTACCACTTGAGCCACAGCACTACTTCTGGCTTTTTTTTTCTTCTGCTTATGTGCTGAGGAATTGAACCCAGGGCCTCATGCATGCAAGGCATGCTCTCTACCACTGAGCCACCTTCCCAGCCCCCTCAAGGTGCTAGTCTTAAGCAAAAGAAGCTCAGGGACAGCACTAAGCAAGGCCCTGAGTTCAAACTCCAGGACCAGGAAAAAAAAAAAAAAGATGGCCTAGTGACAAAGGAGAAAGGGATTGACTGAAAAAGGGTTCAAGCACTCTCAGATCCAACACAAATACTGTGTTCCTTCACTGCAATAGAAGCTATGTGCTATATACAGTCACCAGAAATCTTCAAACAAAAATTTAATGTGCTCAGAGTGGGTGCAATTCACTGCATACAAATGCTATCTCAGTAAAGTTTTTTTTTTCAACAATAAATAGCAAAAATTCAAATAGCATAAGAAAGTATCCAGTAGAAAGATCTTTTGAGCCCAGGAGAAAACTACTACCACAGAATCTTTAAACTAGAATTATCTCAAAATGAAGGCAAACTAAATTTAGATAGACAGACAGACACACACACACATACACACAAAGATGGTTTAACTAATTGACTACAGGCTGTGTGATGGCTCAGGGCCAAAGGAAACAGACCTTCACTGGACTTAACATGGAGCCATAGAAGAAAGTCAAATAAATGATAGCCAACTACAGGGACATTCTGTTTTGAGGAGGAAGTACTTTTCTTTACTACCTATCTGTCTCCTGGGGATGTCTCACTCTCTATCTTCCAATTAAAAAGCAATGGAAGCCAGGTGCCAGTAACTCATGCCTGTAATCCTACTCAAGAGGCTGAGCTCTGAGGACTGTGGTTCATTGTTGGCAGAAAAGTCGGTGAGCCTTTTATCTCCAATTAACCAACACAAAGAAGCCTGAAGTAGAGTTGCTGCCCAAGTGGTAGAACGCTAACCTTGAGCAACAAAAGCTCAGGGACAGCACCAAGGCCCTGAGTTCAAGCTCCAGTACTGGCACCAAAAAAAAAAAAAGAGCAATGGAAGCTAGGCCTGGAAGCTCACATGTATAATCTTAACTACTCAAGAGGCTGATGATATCTGAAGATCATGGATCAAAACTAGCTTGGGGGGCTGGGAAGGTGGCTCAGTGGTAGAGCGCTTGCCCTGCATGCCTGAGGCCCTGGGTTCGATTCCTCAGCACCACATAAGCATAAAGAAAAAAGCTGGAAGTGGCGCTGTGGCTCAAGTGGTAGAGTGCTAGCCTTGAGCTGAAGAGCTGAGGGACAATGCCCAGGCCCAGAGTTCAGGCCCCACGACCGGACCCCCCCCCCCCCCCAAAAAAAAAAAAAAAAAAGCTCGGGGCAGAAAAGTCCATGAAACTTGTATCTACAATTAATCATCAAACAAACAAAGGAGAAATGAGTGCCTGTTATCCTAGCTATTCAGGAGACTGAGATCTGAGGATAGCAGTTTGAAGTCAGCCTGGGCAGAAAAATCCATGAGACTCTTAGTCTCCAATAAATTACTCAGAAAAGCCAGGTGCCAATGGCTCTCACGCCTGTAATCCTAGCTACTCAGGAGGCTGAGATCTGAGGATTGCGGTTCAAAGCCAGCCAGGGCAGGAAAGAGACTCATCTTCAATAAACCATCAGAAAACTGGAAGTAGTGCTGTGGCTCAAGTGTTAGGTCGATCACCTTGAGCTGAAGAGCTCAGGGACAATGCCCAAGCCCAGAGTTCAAGCCCCACAACCGCCCCCCATCCCCTCAATAAAAAAAAAATTACTCAGAAAAAGCTAGAAGTGGTGCTGGGACACTAAGTGACAGAGCACTAGCCTTGAGCACAAAAGCCCAAACAGGAACTGGGAATGTGGCTTAGCTGTAGTGCTTGCCTAGCATGCATGAAGCCAATTCCTCATTCAATTCCTCAGTACCACATACACAGAAAAAGCCAGAAATGGCGCTGTAGTTCAAGTGGTAGAGTGCTAGCCTTGAGCAAAAGACAGTGCCCAGGCCTTGAGTTCAAGCCCCAGGACTAGCAAAAAAAAAAAAAAGCAGTTCAAACCCATGACCAACCTCTCCCCCCCCCCCCCCAAAAAAAAAGGGTGGGGGGGGGGGAAGAGGCAGAAATGGAGCTGTGGCAAGTAGTAGAACACTAGCCTTGAGCAAAAAAGCTCAGGGACAACCAGGTGCTGGTGGCTCACGCCTGTAATCCTAGCTACTCAGGAGACTGAGATCCGAGGATTGCGGTTCAAAGCCAGCCTGGGCAGTAAAGTTCGTGAGACTCTTATCTCCAATTAACCACCAGAAAACTAGAAGTGACGCTGTGGATCAAGTGATAGAGTGCTAGCCTTCAGCTGAAGAGCTGAGGGACAGCTCCCAGGCCCAGAGTTCAAGACCCACAAACGACAAAAAAAAAAAAAAAAAAAAAAAAAAGCTCAGGGACCAGGCTCTAACATGATGTCAAGAATTGGCACCAAAAAAGAAAGGAAAAAGGACTGATGTCTGAGAATCTTGTTTGAAGCCAGTTCAGGCCCCAGCTGTCATGCATGCACATACACACAACATATGCCACAAAAGCTGAATGCAGTGGCTTATGCCTACAATCTTAGCTATGCAGGAAGCTGAGATTGGGAGGATTATGGTTTGAAGTCAGTCTTGGAGAAAACTTTGTGATTGTGAGACTCTCAACCAACAGCAGCACACACTGGTGCATGCCTGTTCATCTTACCTATGTGGGAGGTTGAGGTGGAAGAACTCTAGTTCTAATAGGGAAAAAAAAAACTTGCAAGACTCCATCTCAATGGAAGAGGCTAGCATAGTAGCCCATATCTGCCATCCCAGTGAAGAGATTGTGGTCTAGGTTAGGCTGAGCAAAACATCCAGACCCTATCTCAAAAATCATGGAAGAAAAAAAGGACTAGAGGTGTTGATCACAGTGCTAAGAGTGTCTGCCTACAAAGGCCAGTACTGCCAAGGGAAAAGACAGATGCTGACTCCTCCCACACTGATAAGCTGGTAAAGCCTGAACTGATTCTCCAAGGGGACAGTGTTTGCTGATTTCCAGCCACCAACATTGTCACTGGGCACAGAGTTGGGAAGACTTGTCCAACAGCAACTCATTACACAGCAGTACTTCTACCATGCAGACAGAAGTAGCCTTGAGAGAACAGATATGAGTAAATGTGGTTTAATTAAAAAAAAAAAAAAAGAACTAGGAAATATGGGCTGAGAAAGTGGCTCAGCGGTAGAGTGCTTGCCTAGCATGTATGAGGTCCTGGGTTCGATTCCTCAGTATTACATAAGCAGAAAAAGCCAGATGTGGGCACTGTGGCTCAAGTGGTAGAGTGCTAGCCTTGAGCTGGAGAGCTGAAGGACAGCACCCAGGCCCAGAGTTCAGGCCCCATGAACAACAACAACAACAAGAACTACGAAATAGGTTTTGAGTATATATTACCCTTTTCTTTTTTTGCCGATCCTAGGGCTTGAACTCAGGGCCTGGGCACTGTCTAAGCCTCTTTGTGCTCAAAGCTAGTACTCTACCACTTGAGCCATAGCACCACTTTTGGCTTTTTCTGAGTAACTTTTTTTGGGGGGGGGTCAGTCGTGGGGCTTGAACTCTGGGCTTGGGCGCTGTCCTGGCGCTCTTCAGCTCAAGGCTAGTGCTCTACCGCTTGAGCCACAAAGCCACTTCCGGTTTATTGGAGATAAGAGTCTCATGGACTTTCCTGCCCGGGCTGGCTTTGAACCTCGATCCTCAGATCTGCCTCTTGAGTAGCTAGGATTACAGGCGTGAGCAACTGGCTCCCGGCCTGAATAATTTAATGGTAATAAGAGTTTCATGGACTTTTCTGCCCAGGCTGGCTTCAAACTACTATCCTCAGGTCTCAGCTTCCTGAGTAGCTAGGATTACAAGTATAAGCACCCAGCTTTATTACTCATTTTTCAGTTTTTTTTTTTTGGTCGGTCACGGAGCTTGAACTCTGGGCTTGAGTGCAGTCCCTCAGCAATTCAGCTCAAGGCTGGCGCTCTACCCCTTGAGCCACTGCACCACTTTCGGTTTTCTGGTGGTTTACTGGAGATAAGAGTTTCACAGCTCTTCCTGACTGGGCTGGCCTTGAACCATGGTCATCAGATCTCAGCATCCTGATTAGCTAGGATTACAGGCATGAGCCATGGGTGCCTGGCTGTAATTTAATTTTAATAATCGCTATGTTACACAAACTGCTTACAAAATCCCTGTTAACAACCAACTGTGTGAGCTATTACAAGCCAGCTCCAGTATACCTAGGTCTCCCACATTCAAGCTTACCTGATGACATGGTTAATAATGATGGGTTCTGGTGGCATAAGCAAGGCATGAAGCCGTTGAGGGATCTCTGAAAACTTCATACGTTGAGATTCAAAGATCTATGGGAAAGAGAAGTAACTAAAAATAGGCATTTTGAATATAATTACTGGCCTTATGGTTCCCAACAAAAGAAAAAGTCCTTAATATACCTGTTGGAGGTACTTGTCACAGATGACAAATTCTCGTTCATGAGGGTCCTGGAGCTTATGTGTCTTGATATACTGCCAGAGTGCTTGGATGATCACTGGACGAGTTTGTGTATGGATGCCCAGGAGCCGAGCCAGGCGAGGGTCTAATTTAAACTGGGGAGGCTGCACAGAACCAGAGAATATAGGAAATGAAATCAGTGAGCTGGATCGGTGTGCATCCTGATGTGCTTACTATGATTGCACATTCAATCTAGTCAGCAAACATTAAAATTATGCTTTCTTAGGTACAGGAAAATAGTAAGATAAGAATTATCCATGTGTTAAAGTGGCAAGTTATTCACAACTAGACCTAAACCCTTACAGGTTGGACTGTTACTGAGATGTGGCTGTAAATGCTAGACCCCCTCACATCTCTACAAAATACCTGGTAATCCAGCATCAGTAGGACAGTACACCGTACATTCACATCTCCTGGCCGCTTCACCTGGAAGCCATCAGTCTCCTGGGTAGTGGCGGTCCTGTGCCACTACAGAGAGGAAGATGTCAGGGGGGCTCTCCCAGAGGAAGAGCTGGGGTGGGAGGGAAGAGCTTCTGTAATGACTGAACATTCAACTTTGATTACTGAGGTTACTGGAGAGCAGCAATAGCATAAGACACACCTAAAGTTTGCATATAGTTTTGGGATTATTGCCTGTATATAAGCAGATTATTTGTTTATTTCTGAGTATTGGGGATCATATTTAAATTAGCCCAAATTTCCAGTGAAATTTTTGCCCACAAAATGAATGCATATGGGAACAGAAACATAATGTAGCTACCATTTAGTGCATACTTATTTTGTAAAAGAGTATGCTAAGCCATTTACTTGGTTATCACTTAATTCCCAAACACCCATTCAAGATAAGCCTGATAATACTTATTTTACAGATGAAAAAAACTAGTGCTTAGAAGAATGAAGTGACTTGCCTAGGTCAAATACCAATAAATAGTGGAACTGCAATTTGAGCTTTGGTGTGTCTGATTTCCAGTCCACATTCATTGCTATTACACTACTATAAAACTAAGTTAAATATATTTACAAATTTCTATTGAGTCTATGACTTACTTCCCTTATTAGATGGTAAAGACCTTCCCATGTCTCTTAGTGGTTGAGGTTAAGGGGCTGCGGCTACATTGGCAAAGAAAGGAGCAAGTTAAGTTTACATGCAGCACTGGATGTTATTCTGGGCCTATGTCCCAAATAATACTGGTGCTAACATGGTCTTTAAAACACTGCACAATTAGGCACTACAATAAAGGATTACTGATGATTTGAAAGTGACTCTAAGACCTAAAGTAACCTAGGCAAGTACTAGCACCCTTAATCAACCCCTTTAATTACAACAACTGCTATCAGAAAACACTATGAATGACACATGGGTAACTACAACTCATCATTCTTAATAAGCAAATTCAGAGATGGCTTGATATGTACAAGAGGCCTTCATTAGAATATTCCTTGAAAGTAGGGGCAATAGTCAGGATAATAAAAGGCAGGACAAGTCAGATTCCAAGAGTTGTAAGTCTAGGGGCTGGGAAGGTGGCTCAGTGGTAGAGTGCTTGCCTTGCATGCATGAGGCCCTGGGTCCGATTCCTCAGCACCACATAAGCAAAAAGAAAAAAGCCAGAAGTGGCACTGTGGCTCAAGTGGTAGAGCGCCAGCCTTGAGCTGAAGAGCTGAAGGACAGTGCCCAGGCCCAGAGTTCAAGCCCCAAGACCGGACCCAAAAAAAAAAAAAAAAGAGTTCTAGGTCCAAATAAACACAGCTAGTGCCATCTGGAAGTCGATGTACAAACTGAAATGGTGGACCTGTACACTTGGGATAACTCTTTTTATCTCCTCCTCTCTTTGGGTGTTAGTTCGGCTCTCAAGTCCATCATCCTCCAACCAGAATCAGAGCCTACAAGGCATAAGTACTCACTTCTACCAGATGGTTGTCTGGTCCATACAGGTCTTTGTCTAATTCGATCACCAAGGACTTAAAAAAGGAAGAAAACTTCCTCTTTTGTTTGGTGGCATCATATTTGGACAAGGCTGACTGGAAGAGAGATAGGAAAAATCATGTTAGAAAAGGCCCAAAAACCTTTGCCAAGACAAAGCCCTATTAAAACCACCCACAATAACAATGGGGGGGGGGGGGGGAATCAAGAACGTCTTCTGTCTCTTAAGAAATGGAAAAGTAGGCCTCTACCTAGCACTAGTGGCTCACACTTGTATATCCTAGCTACTCAGGAGGCTGAGATCTGAGGACTGAGATTCAAAGCTAGCCCAAGCAGAAAAGTCTGAGACTCTATAGCCAACTAACCAGCAAAATGCTGGTCTGGAGGCATGACTCCAGTGGTAGAGCATCAGCTGTGAGTGAAAAAGCCAAGCAGGAGCTCAAGGCCTTAAGTTAAAATCTTGGTACCAAAAAAAACAAAAAAGAAAAAAGCAAAACTCTAGTCATGATATCAGTAGAACCCCGAAGAAGCAGCTTATAAGGACAAAGTCACTTATCTACTTCATTTCCCTAAGGGATATGAGGCAAGCTAAGCCAAACTGTTGTACATAAAGCACATCTGAACAGAGAAAGTCTGACTGTAGAGGGGAAATGAATCACAGGCAGTAACCAGCCAGAACAAAAACAGCTTTATTTGGACAGAATGACATAATCAGCAGATGGACTAGACCTATATAGAGATGATGGAGGCTCTAACATTGAGTCCTAGTTCTGCAAAATGCATTCAAATCAGCTTGCCTGCAAGCAGCTAAAAATAGAGCCAGAGAGTGCAAGGAAAGGAAAGAAAGGTGAGCTTCCCTAAGGAGCTGCTGGGGTGGGAAGTTGAGGGCTACCCCCTGTCTGTTAACGTTCCCCATGAAGTAATAAAGACCTTGTCAGAGAAATCTACCCGACTTAAACTGTGGAGCATCTCCAATGAAAGCTGGAAATGCCACAGTAGGAATCAAGGATTTAAGAACTTAAAAACTAAAACACAAAACAACCAACCCACCCCCAAACCCTACCTAACTAATCTATGAATACTGCTAAATTGAATGGCCAGCAGAATCAGGAGTAAGGCAAATAACAAATCAAATCCCAAGACAATAAGGTTTTTGATACCAGTGATGACCAAACTATGGGAATAGATATAAAGGACCATTGTCTTTCTGTGCAGAGAACAGAGTGTCCCCCTGTCCGATACTCTCGGCAGGAGCTGTAAAAACCAGTAAGGCTTCTTGCAGCTTGGACAACACTGCTCAGTCCCAGCAGTTCCCACCCTACACATCAACCATGACCACTGTAGATCTTGAACTCACATCCTCCAGGAGCCGTCCTTCTACCCGAAGCTCCCAGGAAGCCACGGTCCCTTCCCCATCTTCGGCATCTGACTTGGCCGGATTGAAAGTGTTAGAAATGAAAATACGAAGCTTCCGTTTTTGCTGAAGAAAGCAGAAACAGGATTGATAATGGGGCTTCAATGGTTTGATGCTGAAGACAAGAGTCTCCCCAAACCCCAAAATTACTCCTAATAGATTGGCTTACTGTCCCTGGGATGCCAGGTGGAAAAAGTCATGCATAGTGCCAGGTTCCCAATGTAGCAGAGCCATCATAGTAAAAACACCAACCCCCACCCCCATCTTGCTGTTCTGTCCTTTTTTTTTTCCCGTCATGGAGCTTGAACTTGGGGTCAGCACGCCGGCCCTGAGCTTTTGTGCTCAGTGATAGTGCTCCACCACTTTGAGCCACAGCTCTACTTCTGGTTTTCTGGTGATTAATTGGAGATAAGCGTCTTACCCACTTTCCTCCTCAGGCTGGCTTTGAATCATGATCCTCGGATCTCAGCTTCCTGAGTAGCTAGGATTACAGGCGTAGGCCACCAGTGCCATCTTACTGTTGTTTTCTGTTGGTCATGGGGCTTGAACTCAGGGCCTGGGCACTGTCCCTGAGCTTTTTTGCTCAAGCCTATTACTTTGCTACTTTGAGCCACAGCTCCAAATTTAGCTGGTTAACTGGAGAGACTCTCATGGACTTTCCTGCTTGGGCTGGCTTTGAACCATAATCATTAGATCTCGGCCTCCTTAGTAGCTATGATTACAGGTCTGAGCTACCAGTGCCCAGCCAAAGCAATACAATTTAAATGCCAAGATTTTTCATCCTAAGCTTGATGAAGGTTTTCTCCTTTGGCTATCTGCCTAGTGCTTTCCTGCGTTACCTTGATAGGACGTTTCAAGGCCTCCTGGATATCTAGCCGTTTCCTCATGATAGTCTGGTCCAGTTTCCTTTCAAAAGCCAAGAGGTCCATATAGGCCTGGGATTCTGGTACCAGTTCACGAATCTTCAAAATAGAAAAGATGTGATTGGGATGTAAGGCTGATGACCATCTCTATTCTCAAATTAACCACACCTTCAAGAAGACATAGAAATTGGACTCACCCTTTGAGGTAGAATTTTGTCAGCCATCTTCTTTTTCTTTGCACTGTTCAGAATAAATAGTTATCAGGTTGGGATAGAATGAGTCATAACATGAAAAATTAGCCATCAACACCTCCCTTTATTGTAAAGTGAGGGCCTGCAAAGCTTTTTCTCAAATAGAAGAACCTCCTCCCCTCCTCCCTGCCCTCCCATCATTAGTACCACCACCACCACCACCACCACCACCACCACCACCACCACCAGGCATTCTCAATAGTGAGTCTCTGCAGCATCACCTGCTGATACAGTTTCACCAATTCTCCCACCACCTGTATCTTCACAGGCCTCCTTGCCCCTCCCTTCCTCCACCCAGGTCATCTTACTTGTGGTTTCGATTCTGGACCGCCTGCTGCTGGACCTGCTGGATCTGCTGAGGTGCAGGTCTCTTGCGGGACTGGTCCATCCCGGACTGAGCCAGGCCAGGTCGGACTGAAGGGTTTCCCCCATAGCCAGGAGGTCCCATGGAAGGTCCCTGAGGTGTCATTCGGCTTCCTGGCAGCATACCTGGTCTCTACAGAGAGGAAAGGACCCAGAGATGTCATAGCTTCCCCTGCCAATTAACCCCACCAAGAATGGAAAACTGGGAGGTAGGAGCCTGAATTCTTTGAATGGAACAAAGCTGGTAGGTAGGGTGGAGGATAATGACAAGAGAGCGGGAGCCCTCTGCTTCTTTGAAATATAGGTAACTGGACCATCCTCTGCCCCAGTTCCAATCTATGGAAATTAGGACCCACGAACTATTAAGACAGCTATATTACATTCAAGTTTTCTCCTCAATCGGACTCATCAGACAACTCCTCTAGTCCTCCACCCACTCGGCTGGCTTCAATCTCTTTTGAAGCAGACCTCAATTTGCAACTACAAGTTGGGTGTTCCTCCAAGCCCATGTCTCTTTGCTCTTCATGGCCATCCCAAGCCCCACTGCATCTCCCCGACTCTACATTGACTCCCCACTGAAACAATGCTTGTGGGAGCAGGGTGTGTGTGTGGGGGCGGGGGGGCGGGAGGATGCTAACTGCCTTCCCCACCCCCAACCCAGGACCAGAACCCCTTTCAGGGGAGTCCTTCCTGCTCCTCCCCCATCCCTGTCACTCCCAGGCCCCGGCTCGGCCCCGCCCCCGGCCCGCGCGCCCCTCCTCCTGCCCCACTCACCGGATAGGCCGCCCCGGGCATCGGGGAACGGTACAGCCCCTGACCCGGCGCCGGACCCATTCTCACCGGAGGCCCGGGAGTTCCGCCCGGGCCCAGAGCAGCTGCCGCGCCCGCCCCTCCTGAGGCTCCGGCCCCGCCGCTCGGTGCCACAGACTGGAAACCCGCCCGGGCCGCCATCTTCCCGGAGCCGCCGAGGCAGCTGCACAAAGAACCGGAACCGGAACTCCCCCCCGCGCGCCCCCCGAGCGCCTGCCTGTTTGTGTGCCCGGCGGGCGGGCAGGCACGGGAGGCTCAGGAGCAACGAGACGACGGGCTAGAGGAGGCGCCTAGCGAAAAGGGTGTGATGACCCCCCCCTCCCATCCCCACCTTCGTGGTCGGGGCGAGAGCACCATAGAGAGGAGCGCGGGGATAGAGAGGCCGCGTGAACGGGCGCCCCCAGGCCGTCCGGAGGAACATAGCCCTCCAATCCCCTAACGCTAGCTTTCTGATGGAGAGTGGGGCTGGGAGGGACAGCTTCACCTTGCTGCAGTGCATTTCAGCTCTCTGATGGCTTTTCGTTTCATTCCCTTGCTGCTTTCAGTGAGGGTGGCCGAAAAGGGAAACGTACGGCTTATTGCAGAGAGAGAGAGAGAGAGAGAGAGAGAGAGAGAGAGAGAGTGTGTGTGTGTGTGTGTGTGTGTGCGCGTGCGTGCTTGTGTCGCTCCAGGGGCTTGAACTTCGGTCCTACTGTTTCTTAGCTTTTTAGCTCAAGGCTAGCCTTCTATCACTTGAGCCATTTTCAGCTTCTTGGTGGTTAGTTGGAAATAAAAGTCTCATGGACTTTCTTGCCTGGGATGGTTTTGAACCAAGATCCTCAGATCCTCCTGAGTAGTTAGGATTACAGGCCTGAGTCATCTGCACAGGCTGTTTATTGTGTTTTACAGATGAAAAAGCTGGATTCGAAGGAGGTAAATGATGAACTTTCAAGGTAGCAAGTGGTAGAGTGGTCCTCAACTCGTCTTCTGCTTGGCAGCCCAGGATCCATTCCATAAATAGTTGCCTCAATGATTTACTCTTGTGGGAACTGCGACCCATTTCCTTTTTCTCCTTTGTAACCTATTCTGCTTCCAGATTTTAGGTTCCAGTTTATCTGGAATTTTGACATTGCCACCTCTCCAAAGAATCCTTCTGTGCTGAGACTTACCTTTGGGAAATATATTGTGTTCAATCCCTTCCCTCTTTTCCTGCCTAGTGTTTCAAACCATTCCTGGTATGTGATCTCCGTATCCCATGTCAGGACAGATTCCAGTGTCTCGCTGATCAGATCTTTTCTTACTCCTCCCCTCATAGTGTGGTCTCATGCCAATCTCAGCTTTAGTGGGAATACCTAAAAACTCCTCAAATAAAAAGAACAACACTGAAGAGGAGATGGTTGAAACCCAGTTTATTAGACCAGAGTCATGCGTCACCCAGGGCCCTGCCTACTGACCCCCATCTAGTGCACACTTTTGGCCTTGCTCTTTCTTCCCTTTGGAAAGGCTGTTTTCTAAGGAACTTAGAAATCAAGAAGTTCCCAAAGATCCTATAGTCTCACTCTCCAGCTCCAGACCAATGCAGATGAACTGCCCACAGGCACTGTTCTGGGAGTGTACACCAAGAGACAGCTGGACAGAGAAGGCCTGGAAAAGGGTTAGGGCTCTGGCTTGTGAGGAGTGCCTGGTGGAGGGGTTGGGACAGGCCCAACCCCTTACTTGTAGGGAGACAGAACAGCAAATCTTTCAACTCCCCCTTTAGGTCTTGCCTCTTTCCTCCCATGACCAAACCCTGACTCACCAGGTGGGCTTGGTTGGACATCAGGTAAGGAAGGGAGGCTGGGAACCCAGAAGGAGGGAAAGGCCACTGACTGAAGACCTCAACTTCTTCCTGTGGGCACCCACTGCCCTAGCTGTGGGAGTCACCAATCCGCAGCTCCCTTCTGTCTCTTGACTTAGTGTCCAGCATAGTTCTCTACCCGCTACGTGGGGCTACCTCTGTAGCACTCCTTTCTTGGGGAGACCACAGTCAGCCAGGCAAAGGACATTGGGATAGGAGGAGCAGGGGAAGGGAATGTTAAGGCTGCAGGGAGGGCAGAGGGTACCTGGGATTGAGGGGAGAGGGTGAGGCCAGAAAGAGGCAGAGCTTGTGATTCACAGCTTCCTTTATGTCGCCACCAAGACAGTGCGAAGGTTACAATGCGTGTGTCGTCTCCTTGTGCTTCTCAGAGGGATGTGTGTACACAGTACAGACACCAGGGGAGAGTCCAACTGTTTATACAGGCGAAGGCATTCAGAGACCAGGAACAGGGGAGAAACACAGAAGGAGGAACTTCTTTTTGGAGGGGTTGGGGGGGTGGGAATATCTGGGAAGATGGTTCTCTGAGACAAAAGGATGGAGACAGACAGGGTTAGAGGAAAGTATATACAGAGATATAGCAATATAGAGTCTGTATCGTATAGAAATAGAAAATGCAGATGAGGTTGTTGAAAGAAGCAAATGAAGCTGGAGAAGAAGACTTGGGAGTGTTCCATAAGAAAATTTATGGATGTGGCCCTTTGCAAGGGCCTCTGGGAGGGAGGCCAGTGAGGTCAGGCACCAGTGCCCCTCTCCCTGAGCTGGAAGCTAACCAGCCAGGTCTTTTACAGGATGTGGAGGAAGGCTGCCTCTGGGAAGGAAGTCTCTCCAGCAGCTTTGGAGTGGGGGAGAGCTCATAGGGATTTAGGATGTGGCCTTCAGCACCGGAGCCACATCATGTTCTCTTCTCCACTTCTTCAGGGGATCCCTGACCCCTCCCCTCCCCCCAGAAACTTCACATAGTGTGAGGGAGCGGGACTGGAGATTTATTTTTCTGCCTGGAGATGAGCTTGGAGGGGGGAGGAGTGGACCAGGGAGGGGGGAAGTCACTGGTCTGAGAGGGTCTCCTAAGGCTGGGGAAGCCCCCTCAATAGCCCTCCCCCCCTTAAGGTACATTCTCTGGTTTGGGGCCTGAATTCCAGGCCCCAGGGATCCCCTCTGCCCCTCACTGGGAGGGGACTTTGGTGACTGGTGGCAGCAGAATGTAGGTGGACACTCAGATGACAGACAGAACTCAGGCTGGGAGCTAGGGGCGGCAGCATGGAGCAGGGAGGGGCAGCCTGAGGTCCTTTGCCGAGGTTTTCTCCCTCTTTCTCTCTTTTTTCTTTTTCAAGATTAGTTTAGTTTTGTTAAGATAAAAAGAATGAGATAGAGGCAGGGAGAGGTCTTCTAAGGTCAAGACTCCTTCCTCACCCAGGCAAGAGGAAAAGGGCTGCCCAGGAGTATGGGAGAGTCCTCAGGGCAGATGTGGGGGGGCCGTTGGGGCCCCTTTGCTCTCCTCGCCCTCCCCACCTAGGCCTTTGGTACAGTGGCCTGCGGGACTCAGCAAGTAAAGTCCTCAAATGTGCCTCGGGCCGGATGGTGAGGTAGGATGTTGGCAGCATACGTCATCCCGGCCGGATGGCCCCGGAGGCTCTCGCAGGGGTTCTAGGGGAAAGACACAGAAGAGGACTGGTTATGAGGACCTAGGGAGCCAAAGGAGAAGGTGTCTCTGGGAGAGAGGGTGTTCATGGGGTGGAGGAAGGGTCTGGCTGCAGGGTGCCCCTTGCTCTGGTCCCTCACATGTCTTTTGACGTCATCCAGGCTGAGGGCCACGCCTTTGTCTGCGCTGCTCCTCTTGGCCTCTTTCTGGCATTTGCCTCTTCTGCACAGCTTGTGCTTAATTACCTAAGAAGGGGAGAGCGGGGTAGGTGGACTGGAGCCCTGCTCCTCTATAGCCCCCTCCCCCTTCCCCTGTCCCCCTTTACCTCATAGGCATAGTCAAAGAGCTCCAGCACAGTGAGGATACTGGCTCCGATGAATAGCCCCATCTGGCCCCCAATATCACCTGTGGAAGTGGGGGTGGGGATGGCAGGGAGGTGAAGGGGCTCAGGACCCCATGGGGACAGTAAGGCTCCGTGGGGCTAGGGCAGGCCAGCCAGATTCACAAAGGGATTAACAGCCTTCTTAGGAAGTGTTGCAAAACCAGATCCTGACAGTATTTCTCTTTGCTTCTCTACACTTTTTTTTTTAAAAAACATTTTTCTACTTTTTCGAGATGAAAAAGACGTTATTAAGGGAAAAGGACTTTACAAAATATCCCCAAACTCTTAGTCTCCACTTATGTACGCTTTCCTCTTTGCCCATCCCCTTCCCCCATTGCATGCCACACCACAGGGTTGAGGGAAAGGCCCCTAGGGATGGGGCAGAATAAACACCCTGGTTTGGGTGGTAGGGATCCCATGACAAGTGACATCAGAAGCTCACCCAGGAGCCCTGCAATCTCATAGGCTTTCTTCTGCTCAATGGTCTCATAGTTGAGGACTTCAAAGAAAATATCCAGCACCAGAATGTTCTCCCTGTACAGGGGTAGGGAGGAGAAGACCTAGGTTCAAGTCCTATCTCTGCCCCTTGCTAGCCAGGTGACCATAGCAAGTTAGCCTCTCTGAATTTGTTTCTGTACCCACAAAACCAGATCCAAGCTGGGAATTGGTGGTTCATGCTTATAATACTAGCTTCTCAGGAAGCTGAGATCTGAAGATGGGAGTTAGAAGCCAACCTGGGCAGGAAACTCTATGAGACTATCCCCAGTTAATCATGAAAATAAGCCAGAAGTGGAGCTGTGCTTCAAACGGTAGAGCTATAGCCTCCAGCACAAAAGCCCAGGGATAGCACCTGGGCCCTGAGTTCAAGCCCCAGGACTGGCACACATATATTTATACACAAAATGAGATGCAGATGGACAAGTTCTAGAGTTGTGAGGATAGATGAAATGGCATAGAGAAAAAGATGCTTTACATACTGGCAGAGGGAGGAGATCCTAAATACAGCATGAGGGTGGAGACAGTGTAAAGTGAGGAGAGAGGACAGAGTCTTTCCATTGCTTGTTCTGGCCTGGTTTTCTCTCTGTACACCCCCCAGCCCACACATTTTGGTTGCCATGTGTGTCTTCCCTGGGTTTATCTCAACTTTCTCTTGCCTGCTGAGCCCTCATCAAAGCCCACTTATACCCTCCACTGTCCCTGTCCACAGACCTTGCCCAGAACTGTGGAGCTCTTACCCTATGTACTGCTCAGACTTGTTAAACTTCTTGGCCAGGTACTTGGCGGAGGCTTTGCTGGGGATCTTGACCATGGACAGCTCCTTGCTATAGCGGGTCAGGTTGCAAGGCATTTCACACACGCAGTATTCTTGGTCCTTCTCCACCAGGAAGTCTGTGCCCAGCCAGGTGACAGGCGCTGGTTGAGTGATATCCTTCTGCCACCAACTCTCAACAGAAAGATTCTGGCCCTGCCCCCACCAAGGGCCCCTGAGCCCCCTTCTGTTTTCCTGACCTGCCCTTTTCCCTCAGCCCTGTCTCTCATAAGTATGTATTCTGCCTATGTGCCATTCCCTGAGGATCTGTGATGGTCAGCCATCTTGAGTTACTTATGAAAGAGACTGGAGGCCCTTCCCAGGTGACCCCACCCTGTTCATTTTCCATAGGGACCTGTGAAAATGCTATTCTCAGCATTCAAGTCAGACACGTGTGTGGATGCAGTGGATCAGAGCTGTCTAGACTGAGACCCTTATGCACGTGGCTGCATTCTGACTGCTCCAGGATAAGGGCAGGGGTGAGGGGTGGGGCGGGGGGAAGGACTCACCCAGGGCAGGATCTGCACACTCTTTGTACTGCTCTGGAGTGCAGTATGGGGCGTCCCCTGGAGGAGAAGACAGTGGTTGCAGGATGGAGTTTAAAGGGGTTGTGATGGCAGAGTCCACCCTTCCTGCCACCCATCCCTGTGGGCACAGGCAGGGACCAAGGGCAGATGATGGTGAGAGAGGTAAGGAGTGGGCGTGGGGAGGAGGATGGATGGGAAGGAGTTGTGGAGGGGCAGGATAAGTGCTGGGAGCCTGGAGGCCTGACCTGGCATGTGCACCATCCGGCAGTTGCAGTTCTCCACCAGGTACCGAGTCTCACAGTCGATGCGGCAGGCGGTGATGCTGTAGGAGTCGAAGAAATCCGAGTCCATGGTAACAGCTTTGCAGGTGCCCCAGGGCGGGGGTAGGTAGATGAGCTGCTGGGAGAGCGGGGAGCTGGGGAAGTGTGGGGACCTCTTCCCCCCAAGTCACCTTGATGGACTTCTCTGACAAGATACGGAATTGGGGAGCCCTACCCCCTTCCCCTCCATGGCCTCTGAAAATCTCAGAGTTTGTAGGTCATTCATGCTGCTTATCATCCTTGCTGTAGCTCACCTGTTCCTCCTGTTATCAACCACCTACCACTCTATCTTTCTTCCTTTTTTTTGTGTGTGTGTCAGACCTGGGGCTTAAACTCTGGGCCTGGGTGCTGTCCCTGAACTTCGTTGCTCAAAGCTAGCCCTCTACCACTTGAGTCGAAGTTCAACTTCCAGGTTTATTTGGTATTTAATTAAAGATGAAAGTCTCACAGACTTTCCTTCCTGAGCTGGCTTTAAACCATGATCCTCAGATCCCAGCCTTCTGAATAGCTAGGATTATAGGCGGGAGCCACTTTATCTTGAACCCCTCACAACCCCACCCTAGAAGCAGCCTTCCACCCTCTCACCCGCTGCTCCTGGCAGGACACAAAGGTTTGAAAGCCTGGGGCCACACCAAAGCCCAGCTGGTCGATAAAAGGAGGTTCATCTTGACTGTGGATCTGTACTTTGATGCCCGCTTCGAAGGACGTCTCGTCTATGGGAACAAAGGGGATGTGGGTTGGGAGGGCTCCTGAGCCCTAATCTCCTTCAGAGCTGGGGACAAGGAAAGCATATGACCTTCCCCAGAAGTTAAGCACTAGGACTGAGTGGGAGGTTATCTTTGGGGTCTGAGCCTACTCCCCAGCCTCTTGGGGTTACCAGCTCCATGCGGCTTCAATGACATGCATTCAACACATTTCTTTTCTTATCTGGTGTTTGCTAAGTTTTAAGATTTCAAATTCTCCCAGAGTATCACAGTCTCAGATACTTGCTCCAATTCTCCTCCCTTTCTCCTTCCTCCTCCCCCCCTGCCCCCAAGGCCCCCTGAGACCAAGACAGGCAGTCAGCCCAAGAAGAGAGGGAGTTATTTATAGAGTGAGTGGCGGCTGCTGATGGAAGAGGATGGCTGGTTACCTTGGAGAGTAACTGAGACAGGAAGGGGAGGGGGGAGTCAGGGAAATGAGAGTGTGGATGTCAGGTAGATTCAGAGATGGAGATAGAGACGGATCCCTGTATCAGGTCCCAGACTGGAGGCCTAGTAGAAGTGGGGGCCAGGAACAACAAGGCAGGGGAGGTGGTGAGAAGTGTGACATACCAGTCTCCCCCCACACGGGCAGGTACTCATCCTGCTGGATGTCCAGCATGATCTCCAACCCATTGCCAGTCCCACCCTTCATGGTCTTCAGCCGAGGCCGCCCATCTCGGCCTGAGTTGAATGTGTAGCACTTTCCATACCGTGTGAAGACCTGATGAAGAACAGAGTGGAGAGCCTGAGTTTTTCCAGTACCCCCTGCCCCGCCCCCTAGAGGTTCTCCCCAGCTCCCTCCAATGATGGAATCACACTGCTCTTCAGGAATCGGCAGCTCATTCTCCATTTGTTTCCCTCTCCCACTTATTCTCCATCCTTTTGTGCTCTGGAGAGCCACCTTCGTGGGGTACATAGCCTGAGCGTTTGGCCAATGGGAACTACAAGTAAGGAATCAAGGCAGGAGGAGAAAGAGACTGGGGTACTAATCCTTCCCTGTCCCCTGACTGTTTGTTTTGCTGGTTGTGGCTGTAAATATGGGCAGGAATGGTAGAGTGAGAGCAATTTCCCACTATTGCTAGCTGCCACACCCTCACTGGCTTCCTTAATCCTGTCTACAGCTCTGTAAACAGTTTTTTGTTTGTTTGTTTGTTTGTTTTGTTTTTGTGTCCGGGTCGTGGGCCTGAACTCTGGGCCTGGGTGCTATTCCTCAGCTCTTCAGCTTAAGGCTAGTGCTCTACCACTTGAGCCCTAGCACCACTTCTGGCTTTTTTCCTTTTTTGCTTATGTGGTGCTGGGGAATCGAACCAGGGCCTCAGGCATGCAAGGCAAGCGCTCTACCACTGAGCCACCTTCCCAGCCCTGTAAACAGTTTATTAAAGTCTTCTCAATTGGACTATCAAGTGCCAATCTGTACATATGCATGCATGCCCACGCATGTGCACTCTCCTTGAACTGTTTTTTTTTTGGGGGGGGGGGGATCCGGTTGTGGGGCCTGAACTCTGGGCCTGGGCGCTGTCCCTCAGCTCTTCAGCTCAAGGCTAGCGCTCTATCACTTGAGCCACAGCACCACTTCTGGCTTTTTTCTTTTTGCTTATGTGGTGCTGAGGAATCGAACCCAGGGCCTCATGCATGCAAGGCAAGCACTCTACCACTGAGCCACCTTCCCAGCCCCTCTTTGCCAATATTCTAATATGAACACCTCCACCACCAAGAGTCTATGCCTGACCTCTGAAGCCTCTGAAATAGTGCTTCTCTTCGGTGTTTCACCCCAGCCACTAGAACTCCTGTTCTCCCCAAGACCTTGCCTCTAAACCTAAGCCCTTCAAAACTAAGCTTTTTGGGCCAACTGCTATTGGCTCAAGCCTATAATCTTAGCTACTCAGGAGGCTGAGTTCTGAGGATCGCAATTGGAAACCAACCTGAATGGACAAGTCCCTGAGACGCTTCAATTAACCATTAAAAAGCTAAAAATGGAGGTGTGACCAAGGGGTAGAGTGCCAGCCTTGAGTGAAAAAGCCCAAGCGAGAGCTCAAGGCCCAGTACACACACACACACACACACACACACACACACACACACACACACACACACACACACACCAAAAGAATAAAGAAAAGCTGAGCTTTCTGGTTTCCTCCAGCCATTAGCCCTTTTTGTCCACCATTGTCCCATTATCAATGGAACCTGAAGCGGTCCAAGTTCCCATGCCAAGAACCATCCTCATCCATGCCCCCACCACTCGAACTAAACAACAAGACATGGAATGTTGGTAAAGCTCTTGCAGAGTTTGAAGGTATCAGAGGATATCCCAGCCATGGGATGGAGTTTCTGTTTTCTCTTCCTTCTGTGCCCACAGTAGCTCTTATCACAGCCCTGATTTCAAAGCTGCCTGGGAAAGATTGAACTAATTCTTTTTATTTTGCCAGTCCTGGGGCTTGAACTTAGGGCCTGGGCACTGCCCCTGAGCTTCTTTTGCTCAAGGCTAGCACTGTACCACTTGAGCCACAGTGCCACTTCAGGCTTTTTATATGGTACTGGGGAATCGAACCCAGGGCTTCATGCATGCTGGGCAAGTACTCTACCACTAAGCCACGTTCCCAGCCCTGAACTAATTCTTTTCCTATGAACTTCCTAAATGTTCCCACAAAAGAACTACTGCTAGATGGTGACATAGGAACAAGCAGTGTGAGTGGGTATAACTGGGAAGTAGCATTTGACTCTTCTGTCTACCTACAGCTTTCTTTGTTCCCCTCCAGTATGGAACTGAAAATCAGAGAACATTCCCATATTTTTAGAGTGAATTGAGAGAGATAAAACACAGGAAGAACTCTAAGAGTTCCCTATAGCCTCCCAGAGCCACTGTCAAGTTTGGAGCATGCAGCCACAGGCTGAACACACACCTAGGCCTACTCTCCATTTGGGGTGGTGAGAGACAAGGGGTTTTTTTGGGTCCGGTCATGGGGCCTGAACTCGGCCTGGGTGCTGTCCTTCAGCTCTTCAGCTCAAGGCTAGCCCTCTACCACTTGAGCCACAGCGCCACTTCCGGCTTTATTCTTTTTGCTTATATGGTGCTGAGGAATTGAACCCAGGGCCTCTGGCATGCAAGGCAAGCGCTCTACCACTGAGCCACCTTCCCAGCCCCAAGACAAGGTTTTTGAGGCTCCCTGGCTCTGTGGGCGGGGCTGTTGGGCAGTGGATCGCTGCTGCCACCTGGTGGTTCTCGGATAGAATTATCTGTTCTACCCTCCTACAGCAAGGAAGACAGGTTAACCCTCTCCTGGCCTCTCTGAGGTACAGTGGCCAAAAACTCCTAGTGTCCTGTATGTCTACATCCATCCAAAGACTGAGGTTGGACTGAAGTGACACCCACCAGTTCCTACATTGGAGAGGAAGCTGGCATCAGGTGATTGGGGGGGAGGTGTAGGGAGGAAAAGTCAGTACCTTGGAGGGGCTGGAGAGGAGTCAGGCCAGACAGAGCTGGAAGCTGAATTGGGGGGAAGAGAAGGTGGCAGTTGGTCCCTTAACAGAACCCTAGACCTCTGGGTGGGAAGGTCAAGGGGGAAAAATGACTCTGGGAGAAAGGTCCCTACTGCTTACAGCTAGAGGCCATTGGATTTAGAGGAAACTTGTATTCACTGAGACAGGTAAACACACAGATGACCGAGCAACACACACGTTTCACAAGTCCCTGCTGTAGAAGTTTTTGACCAGGAGTGGGGTAGAGTAATGATGGGACCAAACCTCCTACTTCCCTGCCACCCCAAAGACCAAATGGCTCTTGCCTTACCATCTACCCAAGCGGTGATAATCAAAAATAGTTAACAACTGGCCAGTATTGGCAGTCACCAACAGATCAGAAGCTGACCTCATAGACCAAGGTCCTGGGCCCCGGAAGGTGAGGGTCAGGGAGAGTCCTGGAAGACAGTCTTGGGGGTTAATGTGCTAGGTATGGGCCCCACTCACCACAGAGAAGTTGTGAGGGCCACAGGGCCCTCCGCAGTAGGAACAATAGAGAAGCATGTCCTCCAGCCGGTGGCAGGAGCGATTGTAGAAACGGTGCAGGTTAAAGGGCTCCCCAGAAAAAGCCTCTGGCCCAGGTGGAGCAAGGGGTACCCCAGGATCATCACTTTCATCCAGCCCCAACATAGGGGCCAGGTAGAGCAAGTCGGGGTAGCTGAGCTGGGACAGCCGCACGGCATTGGTGTTGCAGAGGGTGACCGCGGGAAAGGCCAGCTCGGTAGAGGCCACTTCATCTAGCAGCGTCACGTGCGGGTAGCTGAGGTAATAAGCAACGCGGTCCCCTACCTGGCAGAGGAAGGCACCCAGTGCTATGACAAAGGCCACTGCCCACAGAGCCTGCCTTGGCCCTAGACCCCCTTCCACAAAGATGTGGTTGGCCCCATGGAGGGTGCAGCTGTTGGCAAAGGCCACCAAGTCCAAAGGTAAAGCACCCTCATTGGCCTCTTTCCCCGACACCTCCTTTTCCTTCTCTTCTTCCTCCTCTTCAGATTCTGAGTTGTCCCGCTGCTTCTGCTGCTGGGGACCCCACACATCTCCCAAGGACCCAGAGGTCTCCTCTCCGGAGGAGAAAGACAGAGAGCAGAAGATCTGGATGGGCATCTTCTCCAGGGGGCTTCCTGGCCCTGGGAGATTGCCAGGAGGCAGATGCGGAGGGCTGGGTGATGTGATCTCAGGCAGGGTCTAGCAGGGACAGCCACCGAGCCCTTGAGCCAGGCAGTGAAGACTGCCTGGCTGGCTGTCCTTGCTCACCAGAGCTTGTATGGCAGTGTGGCTGAGTTGGGGCGGGGCATGGAGGGAGGGACCAGCCTACCCTGCCAGGAGGGCGGGGATCTGTGCTGATGAATAATTGATGGCACTAGGAAAGAGGCTGATGGAGGGGGCGGGGAACTGGAGCCCCTTCCTGTCATTGATTCCAGCAGGACATAGAGAACTGAAGACATGGTTGAAACCCCAGAAAAGCCTAAGACTAGGACTCCTTTTGTCCCTTCCCCAGGCAAGGTGAGGCTAATAGAGTCCTTGGCTTTCAGTACCAGGATGACCTCAGCTGGCAACAGTCCCGCCAGGACACACATGCCTGCTCTGTCACTTGCCAGTCTGTTCCTCAATGTGTCCCCTAGTTTCCCCACCTCAATTCTGGCCCTCTTTGTTATTCTTGCCGTGGTTCCTTGGTTTCTGTGGGATAGCCTAGTCTCATGCACTATGTAGGCACTCTCCAGACCTCTCCTGCCTTTCTAATTCCTTGACCTAATCCTTGACCCCTCCCCCCACATGTTTCATTGCCCCTCAATTCTTCCAATCCAAGCTGAAACTCCCTGCTCTCTCTACTTATTCCTTTGCTTCTCAGTTTCCTTCCAGGCATAGTCCTAGTCCCAATTTACTCACTCCATGAGCCCCCAATATCCCTGAAACCCCTTCCTATCCACCACCAAGTTCACTCCAGCTAGCTTGTGACGCTCATCCCTTCCTTCCTACCACCTCTTCCTCCTCCTCTTCCTCCTTCTTCCTCTCTCTCTCTCTCTTATTTTCTTTCTCTCTCTCTTTCTTTCTTTTTTTTTTTGGGTCCGGATGTGGGGCCTGAACTCTGGGCCTGGGTGCTGTCCCTCAGCTCTTCAGTTCAAGGATAGCACTCTACCACTTGAGCCACAGCGCCACTTCCAACTTTTTTCTTTTTGCTTATGTGGTGCTGAAGAATCGAAC